TATTTTTAAAATATACATGTGGGAGCATGGAGAAATAAATATGTTATAAAGATCTGTTCTTGGTGGAGTAGAAATAGGCAGTATTATTTAATGTTCAAACATTATTAGTGATAGAGATGGGCATATAATGATTTGTGTAATGGAGGAGTGTGATAGAACTTCTGCACTTTACTATGGGAATAAGGATAAAAAGAATTGGAAATTTGACCAAGCTAGATATAAACAAAGAGAGTAGAGGAAATAACTAAGTATGATAAGTAAAATAGCCAATTAATGGTAAATGAAAAATAAGATGAAAAGATTTGGCTGGGCATGGTGGCACATGCCTATAGTCACAGCTATTTGGGAGGCTGAGGCAGGAGGATTGCTTGAGGCTGAGAGTTTTAGGTTGCTGTGAACTAGGCTGACACCATAGCACTCTAGCCCAGGCAACAGAGTAAGACTCTGTCTCCAAAAAAGAAAAAAGGAACTACTACTCAACAAATAACAAAATTAAAAAATGGGCTTGAATAGACATTTTTCCAAAGAAGATCTATAAATGACTAATAAGCATATGAAAACATGCTCAGTGTTTTTAGTCATTAGGGAGATGCAAACCAAGCATAATGAGATGCCACTTCATACTTACAAGGATGGGTACAATTAAAAAAACAAAAACAATAGAAAGTAAGTGTTGGCAAGGATGAGAAGAAATTAGAAACCTTTGTGTACTGTTGGTTGGAATATAAAATATTGCAGCTGCTGTGGAATGCAGTTTGGCAGTTTCTCAAAAGCTAAACATAGAATTACCATATGACCCAGCAATTTCACTCCAAGGTATATACTTGAAAGAATTGAAAGCAGGGACTCAAAATGATATTTGTATGTATCATAGTAGAATTATTCATGAGAGACAAAAGATGGAAACAATCCAAGTATCCAGCAGCAGATTAGTAAACAAAATATGACATATGCATACAATATTATATGTATATGTACCCAGTGATTCAGCCAGTTCTAATACATGCTACAGCATGGATCAATCTTGAAAATTTTATCCTAAGTAATTAAGGTAGACCCAAAAGGATAAATACTGTATGATTCCATTTCTTAAATAGGCAAATTCATAGAGACAGAAAGCAGTTTAAATTTTATCAGGGACTTATGGGTAAAGGGGAATGGGAAGCTATTGTTAATGCTTACAGAGCTTCTATTTAGGGTGATGAAAAGGTTTTGGAAGTGGATGGTGGTGATGGTTGCATGCCATAGTGAATATAATTAATACCACTGAATTGTACACTTAAAAAATAATGGCAAATTTTAATATATTTCACCACAATAAATAATAAAATTTAAAAAACCACAGTAGTCTTTATTTTCATTATCAAACCTTGTGCTTTCAAGCTGTTCTTTTTTTTTTTTTTTGAGACAGAGTCTCACTTTGTTGCCCAGGCTAGAGTGAGTGCCATGGCATCAGCCTAGCTCACAGCAACCCCTATCTCCTAGGCTCAAGCGTTACTATTGCCTCAGCCTCCCGAGTAGCTGGGACTACAGGCATGCGCTACCATGCCCGGCTAATCTTTTCTATATGTATTAGTTGGCCAATTAATTTCTTTCTATTTATAGTAGAGACGGAGGTCTCGCTCTTGTTCAGGCTTGTTTCAAGCTCCTGACCTCAAGCAATCCGCCCGCCTCGGCCTCCCAGAGTGCTAGGATTACAGGTGTGAGCCACCGCGCCTGGCCTCAAGCTGTTCTTTATTTCTAAAAATTTTAACCTGTTCTTAGAACAAGGCACTTGTAAGGAAAGAAATTCTTTTCTTTTAGGTTTACTTTCGGTGTATTTTATTTTTGTCATATGTGGCTGATGAGGATCTAACTAGTCATCTTCTTCAGTCTTATAGTAAATATATTAATAAACTACTGACTTCAAAATTTTTATATTTTCCATTTCAAGCAATGAATAGTTTAACCAATTAAATAGTAATTGCTTTTGACAACAGCTGTTGATCAGGTAGACATGACTTTGTGTTGTCCTAAAAGTAAAATACTATGTGTTTACATGGTAGCGCCACATGTAGAGAATCTCAAGAACCTGCTTTTCTCTTAGGCTGAGAGTTGAGACAAAATTAGACTATAAATTGGACCAAAGATTCCTTGGATTCTGCATCCTGCTTAGTGGCAGCCCAGATGGACACACAAACTCTGAAGAGTCTCCATATGTTTAATTTGCCCTTTTGTTTCAGTAGACAACCAGTGGAGATGAGAAAATATCAAGCGGTGCTTTTCTGGCATAAAATGTTTAGTTTGCTACCTCATCATTTGCCAGTTACTAAATAACTTCCAGAAATTGTTATTTTAGAATACTTAACAGTGAGGGTTATTGGATATGAAATTGTTAACATTGTGGAAATGAGAAGTAAGCACTGTTCTTTTTTTTTTTTTTTTTTTTGTTGGTTCCTCGATCTTGGATGTTCTTTTCATTTTCTAAATTTACAACCGTTGCCTAAGTTTTTCGTTTTTCTCATTCAACCATTTAGCGAACTATCAAGTCTATATTTCAAAAACTAATCCTTTTTTCCTCGAGGATTTTTTTTTCCTCGACTGTCATAATATCTTCTGCCCTGGTTGCTTTGTGTCCACTCTTGGCTTTGCTGTAATCCATGCCCCACGCTGCAGCCAGAGCATTCTTTCTAGAGTTGCATTGTCCCATGTGGTAGCTATTAACCATATGTGTCTATTTAAATTTAAATTAATTAAAATTAAATTAATTAAAAATCAGGCCGGGCATGGTGGCTCACACCTGTAGTCCTAACACTCTGGGAGGCCAAGGTGGAAGGATCGTTTGAGCTCAGGAGTTCGAGACCAGCCTGAGCAAGAGTGAGATCCCATCTCTACTAAAAAAATAGAAAGAAATTAGCTGGACAACTAAAAATATATAGAAAAATTAGCCAGGCGTGGTGACACATACGTGTAGTTACCAGCTTCTCGAGAGTCTGAGGTAGGAGGATCGCTTGAGCCCAGGAGTTTCAGGTTGCTGTGAGCTAGGCTGACGCTAAGGCACTCTAGCCCGGGCAACAGAGTGAGTCTCAAAAAAAAAAAAAAAACAGTCCTCAGTCATACTAGGCACATTTTTAATACTCAGTAGCCACTTGTGACCAGTGGCTACCAAGGTGAGCAGCATAAGTGTAGAACATTTCTATCATCTCAGGAAATGTTAGATAGCATTGTTCTAGAACCTCTATCACCTCACTTACTGTTGCAACCGAAACTCCTATCCATGGCTAGGAAGGATCTATATAAAATCGTGTTTATCTCTCCTTTCTCATTTCTCTTTACATAATCCTTTATTCGCTTTACTCCAAATGCTTTTTTTCTGTTCTTCCACTGTGCCAGATATTCCTCCGCTTCTCAGGGCCTTTGCTACTTGTTGTTCCTTCTGTTTGGAACATTCACATTTTTCTATTTCTCCTTAAAAATACAAATCCAATCAACTCACCATCTAGAGTAGCCTGATAAATTACTTCATTTCAGCTTTAAGTTAGAATTTAATGTTAGGAAAGATACTCCAGAATTTTGGATCAACCTTACTATACTATTTTTCTTGAGGGTTGTATTCTTTTCTAAAAGCAGATAACTGTATGGTAAGTGTTGGGAGGATACACATTGACATTGAATAGTGTTCATTACCTTATTGATTAGTTCTGATTCTTTTGAAGATATTCTGTTTTCCCTGTACAAAAAAAGATCCATTAGAGGATTATTTGAATTTTTCTCATTTTAGGTTATTAATCTGTTAATATTTTTGGTACAGATAGAATAAATAAATTTTAAGTATCTATTGATTTTATAGTCTTGAAGAATGCTTCCCAACCTCACCATACTTCTTGGTTTTCTTTTGCTTTTTTCTTTTGGATACAGGGTCTTGCTCTGTTCCCCAAGCTGGAGTACAGTGGCACACTCATAGCTCTTTGTATCCTCGAACTCCTAGGCTCAAGTGACCTTCCTGCCTCAGCCACCCAAGTAGCTGGGACTACAGGCATGCATCACCATGCCTGGCTAGTTTTTTTTAATGTTTTATAGAGACAGAATCCCACTTTGTTGCCCGGGCTGGTCTCAAACTCCTGGCCTCAAGTGATCCTCCTGCCTTGGCCTCCCAAAGTGCTGGTATTACAGGCTTCAGCCACCACACCTCACCTAGGTTTTCTATTAAAGGGCTTTTATACTTTTGTTCCTTCTCAAGCTAAACATTTTCAGAAAATTGTATTGGCTTCATACATGGACATAATGTTCTAGCCAGCATTATAATAGATACATAAATATTTGTCCAGTCCTAATAGTGTTCTCCTGTCTTGTATAGTCTGTATAGATGTATAGTCTATTGCTATCTAGACATCAGTATGATCTTAAAATATTTTGCTACTCTTGCATATCATTAAATAGCATAGTTATACTTTGTGTAAAGGACTGTATTTTCCACCATAGAAAATAAAGATTATAAAAGAAATAGTTGATAGTACTGCTATTTTCTGTGAACTTATTGGAAAGATAAAAATAAGCACTTATGCAGCATCATGAAATCAGTGGTAATTGATCAAGTGTTACACAAATGTACTAAAAATAAAAATAGAAGGTAATTGTGGGTATTTCATGTTGATGTTATTTTCTTTATTATTTTATAAGTTTTTAATACTGAAATCATATTGCAGATTTAGAACAAAAAGAGTAAATGTTAGTTTTTTAGACATATGCCAAGTATACAAAAATACGTAAAACATTTAGAGAAGATAAGGAATCAAAGGTGTATGAGATTAATCATGGGAAGCTTTCGGGAAAGAGCATGTATTTCTTCATGGGCATTAGTCAACCCCACTTTGGGCCAGACAGTTGTTTTCTGATGCTGCTTCATTTTTGCATCTAGTTACCATAAGTCATGTAAGTGCTATGTAGTGATCTGTAACAGGTTATCAGGTCCACCATGATAGAAATATCAAAAATAGAGGAATATTATTTGTGTTTTTCAGGTTGCTTCATGTGCGAAATGGAAACTGCAAATATCATTTGGGTGAAGAAACATTTAAGTTAGCTCAGACATATATGGATAAACTGTCAAAACATGGCCAGCAAGCAAACAAAGCTGCACTTTATGGAGAGCTTTGTGCACTCCTATTTGCAAAAAGCCACTATGATGAGGTAAGTGTTTTGAGGTGTGTCTCATTTTGACCAGTAAGTACCTATAAAACAGTGTAAATCACGGTTGGATGCGGTGGCTCACGCCTGTAATCCTAGCACTCTGGGAGTCCGAGGTGGGAGGATCCCTTGAGCTCAAGAATTAGAGACCAGCCTGAGCAAGAGTGAGATCCCATCTCTACTAAAAATAGAAAAAATTAGCCAGGCATGGTGGTGTGTGCCTGTAGTGCCAGCTACTGGGGAGGCTGCATCAAGAGGATCACTTGAGCCCAGGAGTTTGAGGCTGCTGTAAACTAGGCTGACAGCATGGTACTCTAAGCCCAGGTGACAGAGCAAGACTCTGTCTCAGAAACAAACAAACATCCTAGGGAATAAATTCATTATTTTAAAAAAACAGGATAAATCAAATAGTCTTCTGTTATATGTACTATAGATCTTGTTTTCACATACTAAGTTTACTTAAAGCAGTATACATTGCAGTAGAATATTTAAAATCAGACAAAAGGAATATTTGTGAAATGTTTAAATATATACAGTTTAAATGTATACATGGACGATTTAGGGCCAGTTTTGTTTCTGTTCTTTTAAATTTGATCACATGTGTATATCTCTGCCTCTATTTATTTATTTATTTATTTTTTGAGACAAGAGTCTCACTTTGTTGCCCAGGCTAGAGTGAGTGCTGTGGTGTTAGCCTAGCTCACAGCAACCTCAAACTCCTGGGCTCAAGCAATCCTACTGCCTCAGCCTCCCGAGTAGCTGGGACTACAAGCATGTGCCACCATGCCTGACTAATTTTTTTATATATATATTAGTTGGCCAATTAATTTCTATTTATAGTAGAGATGGGGCCTCACTCTTGCTCAGACTGGTTTCGAACTCCTGACCTCGAGCAATCTGCCCGCCTTGGCCTCCCAGAGTGCTAGGATTACAGGCATGAGCCACCGCGCCTGGCCTGCCTCAATTTTTTGTTTTTGTTTTTTTGAGGCAGGGTCTCACTCTGCTACCCTGGCTGGGGTAGAGCGACATAATCATAGCTCACTATAGCCTCAGACTCCTGGTCTCAAGTGATCCTCTTACCTCAACCTCCTGAATAGCTGGAACTACAGGCGAGGACCACTATACCCAGCTAATTTTTTATTATTTTTTGTAAAGATGAAGTCTCACTATGATGCCCAGGTTGGTCTCGAACTCCTGGCCTCAAGCAATCTTCCCAACTTGGCCTCCCAAAGCACTGGGATTAAAGTGTGAGCCACCATGCCTGGCCATCTATCCGAATTGTTTCAATTGGCATGTTTTGTTAACTGAGTCTTGAATAGATGCTTTCAGTTGAATCTATAGCTCTCAATGAACTCATATAACTTGAAGGCATTCATTTCAGTGGGAAACTAGATTTTATTTATATCTTCTTGTATTGCTTTGCATCTTCCTCTGCCCCATGAGAAAGACAGCTTTATTCCTGGCTTTTATATTATTAAATTAATGCTTATGGGCTAATAAACATGTAATTGAGAAGTGATCTGTATGTGCTTATTTGCTTTGCTTGGTTGCTTTAATATGGAAAAATATCATAATTATTTCATGCTGTCAGATAGCAGTCATTTAACTTTCATGTTGCAAATTATTTCTATCTTGATTTTTGCCCCATCAGTATAAATATATATCCCATATTTAAGGGAAAATTACTTAGAAGTGAAACCAGAAAATTCTAGAATAATTGTAAAGTGATGTTTGTGCAACTCAGATGCTAGGTCATGCTGCTTATAATAGTTATATAAGAATTTATCAAGGCTGGGCAGAGTGCCTCATATCTGTAGTCCCAGGTACTTGGGAGACTGAGGCAGGAACATCACTTGAGCTCCAGAGTTTAAGGATGTAGTGCACTAAGGATCATGCCTGTGAATAGCTGTTGTACTCTTTTTTTTTTTTGAGATAGAGTCTCATTCTGTTGCCTGGGCTAGAGTGCTATGGCATCAGCCTAGCTCATAGCAACCTCAAACTCCTAGGCTCAAGTGATCCTTCTGCCTCAGCCTCCCAAGTAGCTGGGGCTATAGGCGTGCGCCACCATGCCCGGCTAATTTTTTCTATATATTTTTAGTTGGCCAATTAATTTTCTATTTATAGTAGAGACGGGGTCTCGCTCTTGCTCAGGCTGGTTTCGAACTCCTGACCTTGAGCAATCCTCCGGCCTCGGGGTCCCAGAGTGCTAGGATTATAGGTGTTGAGCCACTGCACCTGGCCGAGTTTAGTCTTTTAATTATAAATAAATAAACTTTTTATTGATATATGCAGAAAAATACACAAATCTTGAGGATAAAGTTTGATGAATTATCACCTTTTTTTTTGAGACAGAGTCTTGCTATGTCACCCTGGCTAGACTACAGTGGTGTCATCCTAGCTTACTGCAACCTCAAACTCCTGGGCTCAAGAGATCCTCCTGCCTCAGCCTCTCAAATAGCTGGGACTACAGGCGCACACCACCATACCCAACTAATTTAGGATTACAGGCGTGAGCACTGGGCCCTGCCTCACCATATTCTTATATTAGTCAGGATAGGCTGGGCTATGCTGAGGTAATATCAACCCTAGAATAGCAGTGGTTTTGAAACAATAAAAATTTGTTTCTTGCTCATGCTATATCCCTGTTTTGTAGCAGCTGTGGCTGTACTTAACATTATATCTGTACTTTGATCAAGACCCATTGTGTTCTAGCACATCTACCTGGAATGTTACCACCATCCTTGAAGCAGAGGCAGAAACTTCATGGGGAAGCACAATTGACACTTAGAGCCTTCTCCCAGAAATGGCACATTTCACTTCTCATATATTAATTTTTTTCTTTTTTTTTGAGACAGTCTTACTCTGTGCCTGGCTAGAGTGCCATGGCATCACCCCAGCTCACAGCAACCTCAAACTCTGAGGCAGTGATCCTCCTGCCTCAGCCTCCCGAGTAGTTGGGACTACAGGCATGTGCCACCATGCCCAGCTAATTTTTTCTATATATTTCAGTTAGCCAATTAATTTCTTTCTATTTTTAGTAGAGACGGGGTATCGGTCTTGCTTAGGCTGATTTCAAACTCCTGACCTAGAGCAATCCACCCGCCTTGGCCTCCCAGAGTGCTAGGTTTCAGGCTAGTTTCGAACTCCTGACCTTGAACCATCCGCCCACCTCAGCCTCTCTCATATATTAATTGATTGGAAAAAGTCACGTGGCCATGCTTGTCTTTAATGTGAAAGGGAAGTGTATCCTTCCCAAAGGGGAAAAGAAGGGGTGGAGCAATAAATATTTTATAATAGTATTAAAATCTATCACAATTCTAAAAATATTACCTTATTACTTTGGAACAAAATCAACTTTTTTAGTATCCTACAAACACAAACCAGGTTTTCTGACCTAAATCTGAGTTGGATGAATAGCTTTTATTTCATATTTGCATCAAACTTGCTTCCGAATAGCTGTACCTTTTAAGTGAAATGCAAGAGAATGAAACTTGCAGGAGAGAAATATTTATTTTCTAATATGTTCTCCCCCCATTCCTTGTGATCCCTTCATAATATTTTGTTTTGTTTAAAGCAGTTACCACTATCCAAGATAATTTGTCTTTTTTTTTTCCAGTTTTTTTTTTTTTCAGCATATTATGGGGGTACAAATGTTAAGGTTACTAATTTGTCTTTTTTTTCTCTCTCCTGCTAAACACTAGGAGAAGAAGGACATTTTTGTTTTTTTTTTAGAGACGGGGTCTCGCTATGTTGCCCAGGCTGGAGTGCAGTGGCTATTCACAGGCGCGATCCCACTACTGATCAGCACGGGAGTTTTGACCTGCTCCGTTTCCGACCTGGGCCGGTTCACCCCTCCTTAGGCAACCTGGTGGTCCCCCGCTCCCGGGAGGTCACCATATTGATGCCGAACTTAGTGCGGACACCCGATCGGCATAGCGCACTACAGCCCAGAACTCCTGGGCTCAAGCGATCCTCCCATCTCAGCCTCCCGAGTAGCTGGGACTACAGGCGCGCGCCACCGCGTCCGGCGAGAAGGACATTTTTGTTTCTCACTATGTACATAGCACATTACCTGCCTCTTAACCTCTCTGTACCTCAGTTTCCCATAGTAATAGTACATATCGCATAGGGCTGTTTTGTCAATTAAATGTGCTAATGTACATAAAGTACTTAGAACAATAGCTGGCATAAACTAAGCACTCAGCTAAACAGGCAGTTAAGTCATGAAATAACAAGTGTAACAGTAGGGGAAGGAAAGTGCAGGAAAACACAGGAATCCTAGTCTAGGACTCAAACCTGAAAGATAAATTAGGTTAGTGAAGGGGTTAGAGGAAGGAGGAATATGTTCTAAGGCAGAGGGAGCAGAATGTGCAAAGGCTTCTGGGCAAGAGAGAACTATGCCTCTGATTTCCTGAAAATATGTCATGTATCCTTGAGGTCTGATTAAGACAAACTATAGATATTAAGAGTAAAAAATAATGTCACAAATTTGTATTTTCAAGAATGTTTAGCCTCAGAAAATTTTAAGTGTAAATATTTTGTGTATGTTCATATTTTAGTACTTGAAAGCTTAAAATATTTGCAGTCATTTCATTAAATATTATCAATTTGATTTATCATAGTTCTGTCTCTTCTATAATTTTTTTTTCAGGCATATAAATGGTGCATTGAGGCAATGAGAGAAATCACAGCAGGCTTGCCAGTCAAAGTCGTGGTGGATGTTTTAAGACAAGCTTCTAAGGTGAATATAATGTTAAAATTATTGAATGAATTATAGGATTTATCGGGCTTTAAATTTGTTTTAATTAACCTATTTAACATAGTTTTTCTATACTCCATAGATATAGGCCTGTTTTCAAAGTTTCTGTGCTCATTTTTAGAAATCTGGTTTCTAACTAAACTATCCCACATAGACTTTAGCTAATTTTCCTTTACCAGGAAAACCTGTGAAATAATTTGTTTTGAAATTATTTTGTCTCAGGGAAGTACAGATCAAAGTAGTATTTGGAGACTGGGTGTGGTGGCTCACACCTGTAATCCCAGCAGGGATTTGGGATTTCTTTGGGAATTTTGCATGATACTACTACACCAGTGGCATTGATTATAATCCCAACACTTTGGGAGAACAAGGACAGAGGATTGTTTGAGGTCAGTAGTTGGAGACCAGCCTCGGCAACATAGCAAGACCCTGTCTTTTAAAAAATATATATTAAGGCCGGGCGTGGTGGCTCACGCCTGTAATCCTAGCACTTTGGGAGGCCGAGGCGGGCGGATTGCTCAAGGTCAGGAGTTCGAAACCAGCCTGAGCGAGACCCCGTCTCTACCAAAAATAGAAAGAAATTAATTGACCAACTAAAAATATATATACAAAAAAAATTAGCCGAGCATGGTGGCGCATGCCTGTAGTCCCAACTCCCTCGGGAGGCTGAGGCAGTAGGATCGCTGAGCCCCGGACATTGAGGTTGCTGTGAGCCAGGCTGACGCCACGGCACTCACTCTAGCCTGGGCAACAAAGTGAGACTGTGTCTAAAAAAAAAAAAATATATATATATATATAAAAAAAACAATTAGCCAAGCACAGTCATGTATGCCTACAGTCCTACATGGGAGTGCTGGGGCAGGAGGATTACTTGAGCCCAGGAGTTTAAGGGTGCAGTGAGCTATAAACATGCCATTGAACTTGAGCCTTGGCAACAGAGTGAAACCTTGTCTCAAAAAAAAGGCTGGGCATGGAGGCTATAGCCTATAATCCCAGCACTTTGGTAGGCCAAGACAGGAGGATTGCTTGAGGCTAGGAGTTCAGTACTATCCTAGGCAACATAGCAAGACCCCATATCTACAAAAGCATATTAGCTGGGTATGGTGGCATACACCTGTAGTCTTAGCCACTCAGGAAGCTGAGTCAGGAGCAGCCCTTAAACCTAGTAGCTCAAGGCTACAGTGATTGAGCCAATGCACTCCAGTCAGGGTAACAGAGCAAGACCCTGTCTCTAAAAAAACAAAACAAAAAACCTAAGTAGTATTAATATTTGGGTGCCATTCCAGCTGGAGTTTGTTTTTGTTTATTTTGTGGTTTTTTTTGTTGTTGTTTTTAAGACAGAGTCTCTCTTTGTTGCCCAGGCTAGAGTGAGTGCCATAGCATCAGCCTAGCTCACAGCAACCTCAATCTCCTGGGCTCAAGGCATCCTCCTGCCTCAGCCTCCTGAGTAGCTGGGATTACAGGCATGTGCCACCATGCCTGGCTAATTTTTTCTATATAAGTTGGCCAATTAATTTCTTTCTATTTATAGTAGAGATGGAGTCTCACTCTTGCTCAGGCTGGTTTCGAACTCCTGACCTCGAGCAATCCGCCCCCCTCGGCCTCCCAGAGTGCTAGGATTACAGACGTGAGCCTCTGCGCCCAGCCTGTTTTTGTTTTTCTTAAACATTTATAGCAACCTTATGCCAAAATTGTGTAGGCTTTGGTCACTATTATCCTGAAGGATAGCCTACTATTAAATCTTTTAGTCATAGTATTGCACTCTCCTGGCAAGACAGCTTGCTATACTTGACTCACTAAATAATCCTTATTTGATTTTTCTCTCATATTTTCTTACTCTATAGATAAGTGCCTTACTTCTTTGAAGCTATTTAGTGGTATTTTAAAACTGTTCTTTTAGTGTGATGAGACCTTAAAGCATTAATGTACTTTCAGGTATACTCTCTCTATCTAGAAGTTTCCCAAATTTGAATATTTCACTTTGGTCAATTTTACTTATGTAAATTCATTTAGAGGAAAGATTCTTAAATTGTGGATTTAGAAGAGGACAAGATTTCTGTGAAATACATTAAATCAGTCATTTTAGAGCAAGTAAACATCATAGACATCTTGCTATGATGCCCAGGCTGGAGTACAGTGGTTTTTCACAGGTGTGATCACAGCACACTACTGCTTCAGCCTCCCAGGTAGCTGGGAGTACAGGCATTGTGCCACTGTGACAGGCTATGGTTCAGAATATTTTAAGAATAATAGGAAGCCAGGCATGGTGGTGCTCACCTGTGGTCCCAGGCACTCAGAAGACTGAGGCGGGAGGATCGCTTGAGCAGAGGAGTTCTAGGACAGCCTGGGCAATGTAGTGAGACCCTCATCTCTTTAAAAAAGAAAAGTGAAAGAAAAAGGAAAGAGAGAAAATAGGAAAACTTGAAATTCTGTGCATTTAAAAATTATTAGGTGAAAACTGTAAAACATTGTTTTAAGCCACTGCAGAACTGATTTTAAAGTACCTTAGAAAATACTGTGGTAAATCTCCCCCCACCACCATTTTAGTTTAATAATATAGAAAGATGGGAGTATACCAGCATTGTAAGGTAACTTTGTTGTAATAGGTTTGTACTAGGAATGACTTAAAACTTTAAACTCTATAATTTCCCAGGTATATACAAATCTGTTTATAATACAGATCTGTATATACAGATCTATTTATAATATAATTTTTAAATACTTGGAAAGAAATTACAAATAGAAATAGAAGCCATCTATTTACGTTTGGAGATTTTTTTTCTTATTGACTATTATGGCCAGAATATATAAACTATACTTATTTTAGCACACTAATGAACTGTTTGAGAGTTATTTAACAATTTTTCACTTTATCTTTAGGCTTGTGTAGTAAAACGTGAATTTAAGAAGGCAGAACAGTTAATTAAACATGCAGTGTATTTGGCACGGTAAGTGATTGTTATTTAAAATACCATTTTAAGTTGTCTCTCCACTTCATATCCTAATAGTTTTGTATCTTTTTATAGGGATCATTTTGGATCCAAACATCCAAAATATTCTGATACACTGCTAGATTATGGGTTCTACTTACTCAATGTAGATAATATCTGTCAGTCTGTTGCAATTTATCAGGTATGTTAATGGTTATCTTTTTTTTCTTTCGATCTAAACTGACTTGTTGACCTGTATTTGTTTGCAATCTATAAGCCACTCTTTAGAAATGACTTTTACCTGGTATTTCATTTTTAAAGATAAATAAATAAATAGCTTTGAGCTCCCCCAGATACATACATAGGGCACACCATTATTTTATTAAGTATTGCCTAGAAAGCTTAAAATTTAATGATTTAGGAATTAAAGAGAATCATTAAGGAAAAGAATTATTGGATTGTGGGCTCATATTTAGGAGTGCTTTTCCATTTTTTATTTGCCCAAATGATGGCTTGTCTTTGTTGACTTAGCAAATGTCACTGTAGCTGCCTTTGTAACAGCAAGGAAGGCCACCAGTAATCATTTTAGGCCTTTCTTAGTCATTCTCAGGTAAATGATGTAATATGCCATTGCTCTAGATAAGTTATCCTTGATTTTATAGTTCAATTTTGAAGAAGGACATAGAGAAAAACATTGATGTGACTTCTAAAACATAGGAATGATTATTATTATTATTAAGCCATTGCTTTTTAAGTCAGACTCCATCTTGAAAAATTCAGGCATTCTAGGTGACATTTCATGTTCTGTATTTTAAATACAGCAGGACTTTCTTGGCTTCAAAACTTATGGGATTTAGTATGTAGAAAATACATTTAAATTGTTAGGATCTTTAAATAGATCGTCTTTTCAGAAGGTTTACAGTATTAACAAATATTTTTATGATTCTTTCAGGCAGCTCTTGACATTCGACAGTCAGTGTTTGGTGGCAAAAATATCCATGTAGCAACAGCTCATGAAGACTTGGCTTATTCTTCTTATGTTCACCAGTATAGCTCTGGGAAATTTGACAATGCGCTGTGAGTTCCACGTTCCTTTTTTGTGAAGGATTAAATACTGTTTTTTGTTTTTTCCGTAATACAGTAGTACTAAATGTACTTTATGGATTAAATTTGTCTCCCTAGAGCTTTAACAGGATGCCTAAAATGTTCTTGAAGTCATTTAAAATCATACCAATTTATAGGCCACTCATTTAACCTTTATGTGGTTTAATATTGAGACTTGTATATCTTCATATACAGCATGACTTATCTTTTGAGTATTTCATCAATAGTTTCTCTTTGAGTAATACAGTAGCCTCTAGCTGAATGGCAAACTTAATAACCTAAAAACTTCTTTCTCAAAACACATAGAAATACTGAATAAATACAGCAATCATCTTTTTTAAATGCATAACTGAATGCAAGCGTGAGGGGAAATGTCCAAGGGCCATAATGAACACTATAATCCAAAGGATTAGACGTGGACTATGGTATAACTGCTCTGGGGTGATGAAAAAGCCTAGAGGTTTCTATAACCTTGGTTGAACAATCCTCAGTTTAAGAGACATTTAACCCATAGGAGGTGGGGTGGGATGGAGTGGGGGAAGGTTAGAACTGAAAACCTCACCTGAAATCAAGATCAAGGCTACACTCTCAGGGAAAGGACAGACTGAGGGGAAAAAAGTCTGTCAATTGGTAGAGAGATAACAAGGATACCTGTCCATATGTGCTTCAGTTGAACCCAGAAAAGGTCCTCACAGGGAAATTGATAATTACAGACCTATACCACTTTTGAGTTTGGACATAGTGCATACAGGACCTCCAAACAGAGAAAAACATTTCAAAGCACTTTGGTGAAGCTAGTTCCCCTGGGACACCTTGTGGGAGAAAATGTAAAACTCTTGGAAATAATTAACCATCAACCCAAACTATATAGAAATCTTATAGATCTACCTCTACCTAAAATGAATTCACCATTAAAAATTACAAAATACAGGCCGGGCGCGGTGGCTCACACCTGTAATCCTAGCACTTTGGGAGGCCGAGGCGGGCGGATTGCTCAAGGTCAGGAGTTCGAAACCAGCCTGAGCGAAGAGTGAGACTCCATCTCTACTATAAATAGAAAGAAATTAATTGGCCAACTTATATAGAAAAAATTAGCCAGGCATGGTGGCACATGCCTGTAATCCCAGCTACTCAGGAGGCTGAGGCAGGAGGATGCCTTGAGCCCAGGAGATTGAGGTTGCTGTGAGCCAGGCTGACGCCACGGCACTCACTCTAGCCTGGGCAACAAAGTGAGAGTCTGTCTCAAAAAAAAAAAAAAAAAAAAAATTACAAAATACGGAAGGAGACTTTTCCTCTGAGTCAGCAGACAAAATGAACAAGATTGAAACTTTAGTTAACAGAACTTTTTTGGTTGATGCTCTAGAGCAGGGGTCCTCAAACTATAGCCTGCAGGCTCACATGTCGCCCGCCGATGACATTTATCCTGCCCGCTGGGTGTTTTGTTTGCCACAGCTGCCTGTCCTGCTAAGCCTACTGGTAAGCCTACTGGTCTCGGCCCACAGTGCGCATATGTGGAATGTGGGCCGCACTCTCCAATGGCCCTCCAGTGAATGGTCTGAGGGACGGTGAACTGGCCCTCACCCCCCCCCCCCCCCCGTTTAAAAAGTATGAGGACCCCTGCTCTAGAGCATGTATTCATAAATGATTAAAGATACAAAGTGGGTTGGCGAAAGATGGCCTGCTGGCAAAGTTTTACTGGAACGTAGCCATGCTCATTTGTCTATGTATTTTCCTATGGCTGCTTTCACACTACAGCAGCAGGGTTGAATAGTTGCAACAGAGAATGTATGGCCAACACTACTTAAAATATCTGGCCCTTTTGCAGGAAAAGTTTGTTGACCCTGATATAAAAGACGGAATCAATAATATTTTGGAGGAAAAATAAAGAAAAAAGTAAGGGCCGGGCGTGGTGGCTCACACCTGTAATCCTAGCACTCTGGGAGGCTGAGGCAGGAAGATCGGTCAGGAGTTCGAAACCAGCCTGAGCAAGAGCAAGACCCTGTCTCTACTAAAAATAGAAAGAAATTAGCTGGACAACTAAAAATATATAGGAAAAAATTAGTCGGGCATGGTGGCACATGCCTGTAGTCCCAGCTACTTGGGAGACTGAGGCAGAAGGATTGCATAAGCCCAGAAGTTTGAGATTGCTGTGAGCTAAGCTGACACCACCGCACTCTAGCCTGGACAAGACAGCAAGACTCTGTCTCCAAAAAAGAAAAAGAAAAAAGTTAGATTTTAAAATAAAGCAACTGACACCTGCAGTATACAAGATAGGTGAACCTTGAAAACATTGTGCTTAGTGAAAGAAACCAGTCACAAAGGATCATATATTGTATGATTCCATTTATGTGAAATGTCCACAGTAGGCAAATCCATAGAGACAGAGAATAAATTGATGGTACTTAGGCTGAGGAGTTTGAGGGAAATGGAGAGTGGCTGCTAATAGGCATGAATTTCTTTATGGGAAGATGAACATATTATAAAATTGAGTTATGGGTGTACAACTGTGTGACTATACTAAAAACTACACTAAATGGGTAAATTGTGTACTGTGTGAATTATATCTTAATAAGAAAAGCAGAAATGGAAAATAGTCATTGACACTAAACTCAGAAGGCAAGTTAAATAATAGATTAGTTACAACTAAAGAGAGAATTAGTAAATTGGAAGACAAATTTGAGAAAATGATTGCCTGGAAGATAAGGATAGGATGCTTAGAGTAGTTTGAAAGGAACTGACAGATAAAATAGATAAATGGCTTACCTTGTATTTGGTGAGATGGGGCAAAAATAAATAACCAAACATGTCAGGCAAGAGAATACATGCTGTTAAGAAGAATAAAAGTGTGCTAAGCTAAGTTTAGAGAGTGATGGTAGATTTTTATTTTAAGGGCCTTTTAATTGGTCTGTTCTGGTAAGGCCTGTTCAGTAGGAGTGAGCCATGTGGAAGATCAGAGGAAGATCAATGCAGAGGGAAGGTAAAGTGAGTACAAGGGTAAGAATGTGCTTTGCGTGTTCAGGAAACTGCTAGGCCTATGTGGCTAGAGGGGAAAAGACGATTGATCTGAGAATCGTAGGAGATGAGGTCAAAGAGGTGGAAGAGTGAAAGATGTAGAGCCTTCTAGGCCATAATAAGAACTTCCTATCTTATTCTGAGGGAAATGGGAATCCACTGGATATTAAAAGTTGTTCAGTCCACAACAGATTAGAAATTTAAAACAAAGAAAAAACTGGTTCTTTACCACAAATAGTTTCAGAGGTACTTTCTATTAGTATTATATTACAGATTGTGATTTTTTTAAAGTTTTAAATCATTTGTAACTAAAAAGAAATGCCAGACTATATTTATCTTCATTGCAGATTTCACGCAGAAAGAGCTATTGGTATCATTACCCACATCCTACCTGAAGATCATCTTCTTTTGGCTTCTTCAAAGAGGGTGAAAGGTATCCTTTATAATCTAGTCTCAGATATTTTTAGATAATATGTAGTACAAAATAGGGGTATTTGTTTATTTTCTTAGAGGTAGTACCACAGGATTAGACTTTATATCTGTATTACTCTGATAGTCAATTCACTGCAACTCTACTTAAGGGTTTCCAGTGGTACATAATGAGAGATTATTTGCTTCTCTCACATAATGATGTTAATAAGTCAGAATTTCTTTCTTTTCTCTCTCCTTTTTTCATTCTTGTATGCATTAATTTCTTTTGAGGCTTGCATGGAGGAATAACCCAAATGACTCCACAGTAACATGGATAGAGAACTAAAGATGAGTTTCAGTGCTTTATAGTGCAGGATTTTTAAACTGAGCTTCATATCATGTTACCCTGAATGTTGCAAGGCTCTTGTCAAATATCACTTTCTTCCTTTTCTTATTTTAATTTTTCTTCTAATCACCGCTAAGGCTTTTTTTTTTTTTTTTTTTTGAGACAGAGTCTCACTTTGTTGCCTAGGCTAGAGTGAGTGCCCTGGCGTCAGCCTAGCTCACAGCAACCTCAGACTCCTGGGCTCAAGCGATCCTTCTGTCTCAGCCTCCCAAGTAGCTGGACTACAGGCATGCGCACCGATGGCCAGCTAATTTTCTCTATATATGTTGTGGCCCAATTTAGTTTCTTTCTATTTATAGTAGAGACGGGGTCTCGCTCTTGCTCAGGCTGGTTTTGAACTCCCGACCTCGAGCAATCCGCCCGCCTCAGCCTCCCAGAGAGCTAGGATTACAGGCGTGAGCCACCGCGCCCGGCCGCTAAGGCTTTTTAATCCATTTATTTTGCTACCACGATTGGGTCACCCATATAGTAATTCCATGCATATTGGATAAGTTTTACCTTTGTTCTGGAACTAGGTTTTTTTTCCGTCTATGTTTGCATTTTTTTTTGTTTTTTTTTTTTATTTTGTATATTTGCATTTTTTAAAGTTACATAAGTAATACATGATTAATATCAAAAATTAAAAGTTAGATAAAAAAAGAGAAAAAAATAAATTAAGTTGCCTGAAAAATCCCACCAATCCTGAAATCCTGAGTCAACATTTTGGTGAATATTATTTTAGGCTTTTGTTTTGTTTTATTTTGTTTTGAGGCAGCCCCACTCTGAGTAGAGTTGCCCTGAGTAGAGTGCCGTGGCATTAGCCTAGCTCACAGCGACCTCAAACTCCTGGGCTCAAGCAATCCTCCTGTCTCAGCCTTCCACGTAGCTGGGATTACAGGTGCACACCACCACACCGGCCAGGCTTTTCTTTTTTTAAATAAGATAATTAAATGAATGAATAATTTTTTAGTTTTATAATCTGATTTTTTCACTTAATATATAATGAACATTTTTCCATTTCAATACATTTGTCCTTTTTTCTAATGTTTTTAATCTCCCCTCTAATATTAGACCTTTATATTGTTTTTAACTTGTTCTTTAAAAATGCTGCAGTGAGGCCGGGCGCAGTGGCTCACACCTGTAATCCTAGCACTCTGGGAGGCTGAGGCGGGAGGATTGCTCGAGGTCAGGAGTTCGAAACCCGCCTGAGCAAGAGCGAGACCCTGTCTCTACTATAAATAGAAAAAAATTAATTGGTCAACTAATATATATAGAAAAATTAGCTGGGCATGGTGGCGCATGCCTGTAGTCCCAGCTACTTGGGAGGCTGAGGCAGGAGGATTGCTAAGACATTAGATGGAATTTGAGCCTTGAATGCAGCTTTGAAATTGAAATGTCTTCTTGCCTGATTTGGTTGGTCAAGTGAGTAGAAGGTAATCAATTCTTTTAGCTATGTTTGGTTAAAGGTTATGTTTTATAAAGTGTAGTTTCAAAATTATCAAAAGTGCTTAGGTACTCCTTGACACAGTTTCATAACTCTTAAAAATGTGCCTCTTCTTTCCATTTAATTGAAAAGACAAATTCACACCACAGAGTATAGCAATCTGTTAAAATAAAAGCTAATTCTGCAAAATAATTTGATGTATAACATTATTTTTCTTAAATTTGAATTCATTAATACTGTGCAAAATAAAATGACCCCTAAAAAGTATACTTTTTTGTTAAAATTGTTTACTTTCTTTCATCTTGACCAATTCTAATCATAACCACATGTAGATAATATTCAGTAAACATTTATGTCATTTTATTTTTTAAGTTAGACATTCTGATTAGCTTTAGTACACTAATTTATTGCTCTCTTTATTCAGCACTTATTTTGGAGGAGATTGCAATTGACTGTCATAATAAGGAAACTGAACAGAGGCTGCTTCAAGAAGCTCATGATTTGCACCTGTCTTCACTCCAGCTAGCTAAAAAAGCTTTTGGGGAATTTAACGTACAGACGGCAAAACACTATGGAAACCTTGGAAGACTTTATCAGTCCATGAGAAAATTTAAGGTAGAAACTTGTTTTACTATGTTTTTCTCTCTCTTAATAATCTTAAATAATAAAGTATACATTTATTATATTTTTACCTTATGCCATGAAAGAATTGTGAAAATAGCTAGTATAAAACAACATAGTCAGAATATAATAAAATTAGAAAATCAGGACCATGGAAAAATAGGAACCATGTCAAACCAAAAAAGGCTAATATGATTTTTAGACTTTAAATATAATTTTTGTGCCAGGCACAGTGGCTTATGCCTGTAATCCTAGCACTCTGTGAGGCTGAGGCGGGAGGATTGCTTGACCTCAGGAGTCAAGCAAGAGCGAAACCCCTTATCTACTAAAAATAGAAAAATTAGGTGGGCATGGTGGCATGTGCCTGTAGTCCCAGCTACCTGGAAGGCTGAGGCAGGAGGATCGCTTGAGCTCAGGAGTTTGAGGTTGCTGTGAGCTAGGGTGATGCCACAGCACTCTAGCCGGGGCAACAGAGTGAGACTCTGTCAAAAAACAAACAAACAAACAAAAACTCCAAAAAATAAAATGAAGTGTGTACCTATGTAAATTAACATATTACATTATGGCTCTTCCTAACAAGCTTCGATTAAATTTTGGACTGTATTTGTTTTTTGACACAGAGTCTCTGTTGCCCAGTCCAGAGTGCCATGGCATCAGGTTAGCTCACAGAAACCTCAAACTCCAGAGCTCAAGTGATCCTCCTTCCTCAGCCTCCCGAGTAGCAGGGACTACAGGCATGCGCCACCATTGCCCAGCTAATTTTTTCTATACATTTTTAGTTGGCCAATTAATTTCTTTCTATTTTTAGTAGAGACGGGGTCTTACTCTTGTTCAGACTGCTTTCAAACTGACCTTGAGCGATCCTCCCGCCTCGGCCTCCCATAGTGCTAGGATTACAGGCGTGAGCCACTGCACCCGGCCAAATTTTGGACTATGTTAACTAAAAAAATTTTTATTTTAGAATGTTTTGTTAATTTCTTATAAGTTTCTTCTAACAATTTTGTATTACCAAGATAAGTTTTCACTTGTCAGTTTTGGCAAAGAACACTATTACTATCATCAGCCTATGTGCAGTTTCCAAAAACAAATAATGCTTCCCATAGACGACTCTTGGAATAACATGGTATGTTTTTTGATCCAATTATCTTATGGCATTCATAAGATATCTTTGGCATTTAAAAGAATCTTGCTCATTGAATAAGAACTGTTGAGATAAGAAAAAACTATAATATAAGGCTGGGTGCAGTGGCTTACGCCTGTAATCCTAGCACTCTGGGAGGCCGAGGCAGGAGCATCACTTGAGCTCAGGAATTTGAAACCAGCCTGAGCAAGAACGAGGCCCTGTGTGTACTAAAAATAAAAATAATTAGCCAGGAACTATTAAAAATAAAAATAAAAATTAGCTGGGCATCATGGAGCTCCCTTTTAGTCCCAGCTACTTGGGAGGCTGAGGCAGGAGGATCACTTGAGCTTAAGGCTTTGAGGTTGTTTTGAGCCAGTCTGATGGCATGGCACTCTAGCCCAGGCAACAGAGTAAAACTGTGTCTCAGAAAAACGAAAAGAAAAAGAAGTATAATTTTAATGATTGATTTGGCATAATTATCTTTCAGGAAGCTGAAGAAATGCACATCAAAGCAATTCAGATTAAAGAGCAACTTCTTGGTCAAGAAGATTATGAAGTAGCCCTTTCAGTGGGACATCTGGCTTCTTTATATAATTATGACATGAATCAATATGAAAATGCTGAGAAACTTTATTTGCGATCTATAGCAATTGGTATGTTACCTTTCAATTTTCTTTAGTCAATTGATTGGAGATCAACATGTCTTATATGTTGTATAAGGGAAATGTATTATTGGGACTTAAATGGGTTTAAAGCTGCTGAAGATATTCAGTAACCACCCAAAAATCACCTGGAACATTTTGCTTTTTTGATGTTGAAGTCAGTAGTAAGAAGTGTGACAGTAGAGAGTCAAGTAAGCAAAAGTAGTCATTTTAAACTATTTGTGCAATTACTACCCCCACACACCTCCCCCTCCTTCCTTCTGTCAGACTTCAACATCATAGATCAGGTTTACCTGTTTTTGAACTTGATATAGATGGAATCTTACATTGTATATTTCTATGTGTCTGGCTTCTTTTGGTGAACATTAATTGTAAAATCTGTGATGTTGCCTTTCACTGTCACTTGTTCCTCTCCATTGCTGTCTGTTGGATTAATATATCATTATTTATCCAATCCATTGTTAATGAACATTTAGAACTTTTGGGTTATTTTCATTTCACAGCTATTACAAAAGAAGGTGCTGGGGTGCCATTATCTTATGAAGTACCTGTTAAAACTCTTGCCCATTCTTATATTGAATTGTCTTGTCATTTTCTTATTGACTTACAGAAGTTCTTTATATACTATGGATATGACAAGCCCTTTGTTGGTTACATGTGTTAGAGATCTCTCATTCTACTGCTTGTTTTCTAATGGTGCCTCTTTAAAAACAGTAGTTCTTAAATTTTTTTTTTTTTTTCTGAGACAGGGTCTTGCTCTGTCATCCCAGGCTAGAGTGCAGTGGCCTTATCATAGCTCATTGCAACCTCAAACTCCTGGGCTCAAGCGATCCTCCTGCCTCAGCCTCCTAAGTAGCAGGGACTACAGGCACACACCACTATGCCCAGCTAATTTTTTTCTATTTTTGGTAGAGATGGAGTCTCGCTTTTGCTCAGGCTAGTCTCAAACTCCTGAGCTCAGCCTCCCACCTCAGCCTCCCTGAGTGCTAGGATTACAGGGAAGAGCCACCAGGCCTGGCCTAGTTCTTAATTTGATACATTTAAGTGCATCAGTCTTTTCTTTTTGATTAGAACCCTTTGTATTATGTTTTAACACATTGACTGCCACACTAGAAAAATTTTTTTTTCCTTGGGGCCACAGTGTTTTATTATAAAAATAGAATAAAAACTTTGAAAACAAAATGATCCTTTCTTATTTAGTGAAAAATTTGTTATTTTTTATGGTTTTCTGTGCATGGCTTATATGCAATTTGAAAAATAGTTCTCTCGGCTCCCAAGGTGAAGAGACATGTGAGTTATATATGCTTCACAAGGCCTGGGGCTCAAAACTAGTGTGAGTTAAATACAACTCATATGGCAGTTAATGTGTTAAGAAATCTGGCTGAATGTGGTGGCTCAGGCCTGGAATCCCAGCACTTTGGGAGGCCAAGACAGGAGGATCACTTGAGGCCAGTTGTTCAAGACTGTGGTGCTTGGATAGCATAGTGAGACCTTGTCTCTGCAAAAAATTTAAAAATTAGCCAGGTGTGATGGCACATGCCTGTAGTCTCAGCTACTCAGGAGGCTGAGGTGGCAGGATCACTTGACCCCAGGAATTTGAGGTGGTAGTGAGCTTGGGCCACTGTACTACAGCCTGGGCAAAAGAAAAAAAAAGAAAGAAAAATCTTTTTCTATCCCAAAGTCATGAGGATATTCTTCTAGAAGATTGTCTGCTGGAAATTGTGTTTAAACCATTGACATCTTAGATGCACAATCAGAAAATTGATTTTTGTTATTGTGTGAGGTAGGGATTGAATTTTATTTTTTTCCTTATAGATATACAGTTGACCCAGGACCATTTCATGAAAACACTGCCCTTTTCCCCATGCTGTGCTATCTTTGTCATAAGTTGTGTATCATATATATGTGGGTTCCCTATTTTCCATAATATATTAACTTATTTGCTCAATCCTAAAATGCATAATAAAGTAGTTTCAAAATTACTAACCCATACGATGAAAAACAAACCTACTTACAGCTCAATATTTGTTCATAATTTTGTTTTTACCTGAAGATAACGCATATTTAGAATACTCTGTTCAAAAGTTACTGGGTTTATTTGCACCGCCCTCCTTTAGTGTGGTTATGTTACTTATTTGGAAAACAATTAGGTTCATTTGTTAATGTGTTACATTTTGCCTCTCTCCCCATATTTATTTTGTTAATTTTTTTGAGTATGTGTAATTAATGTTCTGCAGTCAGAACTGTTATGAAAGACATGCTCAGGGATATGTCGGTTTCCCTAATTTTTTCTACCCAGTGCCCATCCACCAGTTACGGGTAACCAGTCTCATTGGTTTATCCTTTCTGTGTATCTGTTTGCATAAATGAATAGATAAACAGTGTTTTCTTATTCTCCCTTTCTTACATGAAAAGTAACATACTATATTCTTTTGTACTTGCATTTTTTAACTTAACCTATAAATGTTAACATAACCCATAAATGTTAAATAACCTTTAACTTAATATACCCTATAAATCACTCCATAACAGTTCGTAGAGAGCCTAGAGTTTCCTTCTCAGTTTACAGCTGCATAGTGTGCCATTGAGTGTGTATGCCACGGTTGATGGAACCATTCTCCTGTGTATTTTCATTTGTTTCTATTAGTTTGCAAGTATGAACACTGCCGCAGTGAATAGCCTTGTGTGTGTGTATTTTTCTGTTGGAGGTGCTGCCATTCTTTACTTTGAGATCGCTTTAAATCAGTCGCTTCAAACCATGAAATTTTTAATTCTGTTCTAGTGAGGCCAACTGCTTTAGATAAGAGAAAATTAGCTTATTGGTGAGATTGGTTGTGGGGGGTTCACTGATGAAAGAATTGTATCTGTTCCTTTCAGGGGGATATAAAACTAAGCCACCCTATTTAAAATATTAAAGTTGTGTTGTAGAGGCCGGGCGCGGTGGCTCACGCCTGTAATCCTAGCTCTCTGGGAGGCCGAGGCGGGCAGATTGCTCGAGGTCAGGAGTTTGAAACCAGCCTGAGCAAGAGCGAGACCCCGTCTCTACTATAAATAGAAAGAAACTAATTGGCCAACTAATAAATATAGAAAAAATTAGCCGGGCATGGTGGCGCATGCCTGTAGTCCCAGCTACTTGGGAGGCTGAGGCAGAAGGATTGCTTGAGCCAGGAGTTTGAGGTTGCTGTGAGCTAGGCTGACACCACGGCACTCACTCTAGCCTAGGCAACAAAGCGAGACTGTGTCTCAAAAAAAAAAAAAAAGTTGTGTTGTAGAAACTGCTTGTTATTTCATTATTTGAGCTTGTTTTTCTTTCTTCTTTTTGTTTTTGTTTTTTTGTTTTTTTTTTGTTACTTTCAGGGAAGAAACTTTTTGGTGAAGGCTACAGTGGACTAGAATATGATTATCGAGGCCTCATTAAACTTTACAACTCCGTTGGAAATTATGAGAAAGTGTTTGAATATCACAATGTTCTGTCTAACTGGAACCGGTTGCGAGATCGGCAGTATTCAGTCACCGACGCTCTTGAAGACGTCAACACCAGCCCCCAGTCCACTGAAGAAGTGGTGCAGTCCTTCCTGATTTCTCAGCGTGTTGAGGGACCGAGCTGCTGAGGGAGGACCTCAGTTAACCAATTACCTTTTCCCAGATTCCAGGGAATTCATACTGTGAAATCAAAACCATGTTGTTTTTGGGGGCTGGAATTTGCATTGAAACACTGGTCCAGTCCATTGAAGACCCCATTTTGGGTGATCCCTAACTTGCAGAGTGTCTGTAGGAATAAGCATATATTCAGTTATATTCAGCATGAACCGCATGTATAAGTAGTCTGGCCCACATTTTCAACCTAGTAGAACAAACAACAGGAAGTCTTTTTTTCTTTTTTAAAAAAAAATTCATTTTGCAGAAAGCCTGAAAGAAAAAAAAGAATCCCTAAATAAAATTATTTAAGAGTTTAAAAGAGTTGCATTCTTATTATGTAAGGATGATTTTAACAACTTTTTAACTTATAATTCTTCCATGTGGAGGTATTCAATACTGTATTATAAAGAGATTTTATGGGGAAAATCTTTATATACAGTATATAAAAGTTAACACAAATACTAATTAAAGAGGGACATCCTGACTTAGGTTTGGCTACCTTACCCAGAGACGTGGATACAACCACTCTCCAGAGCTCTATTACAAGGGAAGGACTGTCAGATTCATCTGAACTGGACCAGTGTTGATCTGTAAGTAATAGAAAATCTGATAGACCAGCAGTTTTAACCATTTTCTTTTTTTGGTACAACAATGCAAGATGCTCTGATAGCATTTGCTAACAGGACCAGGAGGATCTAAAAAGGACCAGCCTAATGTAGAAGGTGGTTATTTGGACCAGAGGCTTTAGATTATTATTTTAGGCCCTGCATATACTTTATCAGTAGAATGATTTCATTTAGATGTATAATGAAAAGTGATAATGCAAAAATTATATTCATATAATAGGTAATGAAACTAGGGAAATTGGCAATTTCAATGGCGTATCTTTAGTCAAGGTACACAGATGGCAATGCCATGGCAATTCTATAAATATTGCAGCCATCCCTCTCATTTTAAATATTGCCCTAATAATCAGTGCAGTTAACAAGTATTTGGCTGAGAGTCGTGAAATAACTCATGTCCACATGGGAATTTTAAGTTACTATATGGTTTGTGGGGATTAATGGCAGATGAATGCTCAAAAATAAAAGTCTTAGAAAATCCTTCATTTTTATGGCAAATAATAGTAGAACTGGGTCATTTTATTTAAAATCCAAGATTCAAATAGAAAAATCCCCTAATGATATGTCTATTTCACTATTTTGTCTTTTTGTTTGTTGAGTTTTTTTGGTCTTTTTTCTTTTTTCTTTTTTTTTTTGCCCCAGATGTGCTCACAGGAATTTATTTTATTTTTTAAAGCCAGTCAGATTATTTGAAGTTGAGGTAATACTCAAATTTGAGACTTTGTGACATGTAGCCATCCCAGAAACAAAAAGGTCTTTTGCTGTTACCTCAATTCTTAACTATAGTGGCCCCATCTGATGTCTCTATAGTCAAGAATCTGGGTTTCCCCCTATTTTCAGGGGTTCATGACTTGGCTGTTAAAGATGTTGCTCCTGGCTAATGCTTGGATTAGTTTGTGAGTGAGTGGATGTGTGTTGAATTTTGGTTTTCTTTTAACATGCATGTTGCGTGGGAGGGGAAAAAAATCAAACTGTCTGCCACATTGAGTATAGAACAATTACTTGGAGATTTCAGATTTTATTTTAAGCACTTTTTTGAACTTTCCTACTAAAAACTTGTTTCAAACGGTTATTTGCAGTCTTGTGAGCCAAGTCCCCAGGAGGGAATCGACTAGGGGTATACCTAAAGAGATGGAGCAAACCCACACTCTATGATGATAATAACTATGTGATTTAGAAACCCTCAAATTGAATTATTTTCTTTTTAAATTTTGGGAAAAGTTGGCACAAACCTGCAGTTTGCTAAGGTGATCTCCTTCCCAGTTAATTGCAATTTAATGCTGAGAGGCTCCTCTTTATCAGCTACCAAATAGTCTTAAGTTACTCAGCTCTGTCCTCATGGGCCTATATATTTAATACCTCCAAAGATATTTTCACGTAAGGCTTTGTATACTTTTATTGGTTATTTAGAATCCAGTGGTATATTTGCGGTATAGGAATGTCATGGTAAATTGTTTTTCAATAAATATTTTGAAACATGTTTCCATATGAAGTTTTTTCCCCCCCAATCAATCTGTACTTTGCATTTGTGCACATGCATCATTTCCTAGGATAAAATCTAGCAAATGACTTACAGCCTCATCCTCCTTAACTTGGTTTGAACTCAATTTAGCTCACACTCAGTAATAAAGCAACATGATATTTAGAAGCCTAGGATCATAGGGTGATACTAAGTGGCAGCCAGTTCTTTTTTAAAACATCATATTGGCAGTTTCTCCTTGCCATCACTGTTTTAACGTAGTTTTCTGTAAATCCATACATTTTGATTTAAAGCATACACTCTAGCTTAAGAAAACAGATTTGCCATTTCTGTTATATGACTTAATATGCTATTATTTCTGGTTCTGATGAATAATACCATAATTTTAAGTGTAGGATTTATCCTTTCAGTAAGGATGTTTAGGATAAGCTCGAGAGATGAATGCCACCATGATTTATTGGGTTAAAAAATCTTGAAGAAAAGAATAAAATTTACCTCGCAACAGCAGATAGCTTGCACAGAGTTTTTACATATGGTGGGGTTGTGTATAAGGAAACCCTGGCCAACTTAAAATTGATTTTTCTGGAAGTTCAGTGAAATAATGTTAAATTAGGGGTCTCTTGGTCTCAACCTTCTTTGACTTTTCTTCTACCCAGTCTTTTTCCTAAAGTTTGGTGCTACTCAAGTTGGGTGCATCAGGGAGCTCTGCTAACACTTGCATGTGTCACACAGGTGGCCATTCATGCCTGCACTCAGTTTAATAGAGCCAGTTGGGTTTTTTAGAGCATAACTCTTAGGGGTCCTCAAAGCTGACTTTGCCCAAAGGATTGGGCCCCTTACTACCATTAAATCTCTGTCTCTGCTTGGTTAAAAAATGAACTCACTATTGCTTTGTAGTAATGCCTGCCCAGGTATTCTTTCATTCGTGAAAATTAAGGATTTTTTAGAAAAGCCTTTGTTCATAGCCTATTAGGAAGAGTTCATAATTTTGTGAAAATAAAGTACAGAGGCTGCAATCTTAGAAATAATGAGGGGAACGTTTGGCTGCTCCTTATAGTACACACAGAAAGCTGAACAGCAAACACATGCCTAAAACATGATTGATGCTTTTGGCCAAAACTTTGCAAATTGAAGGAATGATTTGCTAAGTAGCAAATATTGTTAGCTGCCACTTGTTTTTTATGTTTTCCCTAGAATTGGTAGCCTTGCTGCTTCCAAACTTCTTCTTCTGTATGGCAAAGTTACTACTGGAAAAATGCTAATTTATAAGTGCAAATTTTTAAGAGTTGTATTTTTGCTTTAAAAATTAATGTCTGTTTCACCTCTTGGCTTTGGAGGAAGGACCTCAGTTGCCAGGAAATTCTTTTTTTTTTTTTTTAATATGACATTTGGATTAATCTCCAGCTTGAATACTAGTAGTTCTTTTGTCCACAAATCTCAGGAATGTTTTAGGCAGAAAACTGGTTTTACCCTGTTGATGATCTGAAGGAGTGTGCTTTAGGATTTATTAAATAATACTATTCTTTAATTGCAATCCTAGGTATCTATAGCATGAGTGGCCTTAGTGAGTTTGTTGAAGTGCACATGTTTTTCAAAAGTAAAATTTAAGATTAAAATATATGCTATATATAGATATCTAGAAAACTTGGTTGTGGTGCACAGTTAAGTGTTGGATCACTAAATAACCATTGCAGGTACCATTTGTGTAATATTACTCATTTCTGTATATTCCTTTTATGGGAAAATATGTTGCCATGGTAACTAAAACCTTTCAATTTAGTTCTACTTTTATGATGTGAATGAATGCTACATTTTATTAAATATTACCAGGTCAGTACTATTTTTATACTTTATTAAGCAACAGGGGATTTTAGTTTAATAGGCTCAAAATAAAAAGCTCTTAATGGAACAATTAAAAGCAAATTACTAACAATCTTTACATGAAAAATCCCCACTAATAGTGCCACAGTAATTTCTATAGAAATATCTAAGGTCATTAAATAGATTTTTGAAGACAGTTCTTCATTGTGTCAGAATGACCTTTCATATCATTCTCACCAACTTGTAGTGCCCACCATTATTTGTAACTATTAAACCATACTAAGTATGTTTGTAACCAGCATTGTGATATATTCTGTACTTGTATTGCTAAAAATGAATTATTGACCTAATAAATATAGTGTTCCTGGATTCATAGTGTATTTGTTTCCAATTTAGTCGTGATTGCTTTTGGTTGGGATTTGGGATTATTTAAACTTTGCTGACTTTAATTTATTAGAGAATAGTGTGAGACAAACTATTGGAACTAGAACAAAAGTGCTTTTGTTCAAGAAAATTAGGATGTGTGACTGGGCACTGTTGCTTATGCCTGTAATCATAGTGCTTTGGGAGGCCCAAGCGGGAGGATTGCTTAAGTCCAGGAGTTCAAGACCAACCTGAGCAAGAGAGAGACCTCGTCTCTACAAAAAATGGAAAAATTAGCTGGATATAGTGGTGTGCACCTGTAGTCTCAGCTACTCAGGAGGCTGAGGCAGGAGGATCACCTGAGCCCAGGAGTTTGAGGTTGCAGTGAGCTATGATGAGGCCACTGCTCTCTAGCCCAGGCTACAGAACAAGTACCTCTCTCTCAAAAAAAAGTCTTTACAAAAGTAACTATAGCATTCTTTTTAGCATCTTCTTACTCTAAAAGGCTAAAGATGGGTGGTTTGACCCCAGTAAAGTTCTGTTGGGAATAGTGGAGAAAACCCTAGTTTGGGTTTTGGCTCCAGCTTTGTCTCTGAACTGTAGGATACTTGAGTTATATCATTAGAACCCTCTTTTGTGTTTTATTTCCTCACATGAATGAAGGGATCAAATTAGGTCTTTTAAAAACTCCACCATGAAACAGCATAAATCTTAATAAGCACTGAAAAAAAATTACAGGAAATGAGGTCATATTTTAAAACATTATAAAGAAAATATTTTAGACAAAATCCCACCTTCACTTGGAATAGTCAGCACCAGCTTCATTGCCTGCCACCGTCAGCAATACTGAGTTTTCAAATCTCTGTGACTTTGAATTTGCTGCTTCCTCTTCTATGTGGAATGCCATGTGCTGAGTAAAGTCCTACTTACCTGTTCTGCTCAAATGTCAAGGGAAGCTTCAGTTGCCACTAGGTACTAGTACAACATTTTATTCAAAGCTTTGTTAAAGCAATTACTATACAGCCATGTAACTTACTAGTATTAAGACTATTTCCAGCTTGTAAACTTTGCTGATTTGTGCATATATTCAACAAAGTTCATGTAGTGTTCACTCTGTAACATATTCTCCCAGTTTAAACACCTTTCTCTCTCTCTCTCTCTCTCTCTCTATATATATATATATATATATAAAACCTATATCTCTATATATATCTATTTGTTTGAGACAGGGTCTGACTCTTTCACCTAGGCTGAAGTGCACTGGCAATGTAGCTCACTGTAACCTTGAACTCCTGGGCTTTAGCAATCCTGCCTCAACCTCCTGAGTAGCTGAGACTACAAGCATGAGCCACCACACCTAGCTAGTTTTTCTTATTTTTTGTAGAGACAGGGTCTCACAATGTTGCCCAGGCTAGTCCTGAACTCTTGGCTTCAAGCAATCCTCCTGTCTCAGCCTCCCAAAGTGCTGAGATTACAGGCATGAGCCACCACGCCTGGCCTCAGGATAATTAATACTAGTGAATGGTACGCTTACAAATAGTTAAGATGGTAAATTTTATGTGCATCTTATCACAATTTTAAAAAAATCAAGACAAAGGCTTTTAATTTGCATAAGCAGTTAAGTATGATGCATGGTTTGGAAAAAATCTGTAGTCACTTCCAGACAGTGGTTTGATAAATATCTAGTGTGCTTTATTTCTGAATTAGAACTTTGATGTAACATGTCAAAGTTGGTTTGCATTTAAATTCCTTCTCAGTACAGAATCAGGCTTTGTTTTTCACTCTTGCTATTTAAATAGCTTCAATATTTTTCTTCTTGTTACTTAATGACTGGTTATTTCTCTTTATGATACTAAGAATGACACAGATGTTGCCTACAGTTTAACTAGACCATGAGATTTTTAATACCATTGACTATTTTTCATTTCTAAAAGTTGGTTTTTTTTAATTATTTTATCATTATTATTATTATTATTTGAGACAGAGTCTCACTCTGTTGCCCAGGCTAGAGTCCCGAGGCATCAGCCTAGCTCACAGCAACCTCAAACTCCTGGGCTCAAGCAATACTTCTGCCTCAGGCTGGGACTGGGAGTAGCTGGGACTACAGGCATGCGCCATCATGCCTGGCTAATTTTTTCTATATATTTTTAGTTGGCCAATTAATTTCTTTCTATTTATAGTAGAGACAGGGTCTTGCTCTTGCTGGTTTCGAACTTGGCCTCCCAGAGTGCTAGGATTACAGGCGTGAGCCACCATGCCCGTTGGAGGGTTTTGAGCAGAGCAATAATGCATGAACTGCCTTTTGGAATTCTAAGATCCTACTGAATTTGAGGAAAGAGTTAAGAGGACTCCAAAACCAAGCCTCACATTTTGCCCATTTGCCTTTGGACCTCCCGACTGTTCTCAAGGCTGATACCAAGCTTCTCCAGCTCCCTTCTCTCCGTCTTCAACTTTGCACACACACTGCACTGGTTGGAAGAGTAAGGCTGTAGTGTCCTACAATTCCTCTAGGTGGCAGTGCTTCCCCGCATGCCAGGCACACCTCTGTTTTGGACAGCTCCCAAACAGCCACATTTCACTGGTCAGTGAAATCTCTCAGGAGTAGACAAAATTGGACAGCCCCTAATCATCGTGGACACACTCCAGCCTGCCTGCCCTTCCCTCTGAAACTCTCCCTGCTTTGTCAAAGCTGTCAGGGAGCAGCCAAGCAAGGCTGACCCCAGGCCTGTGCCTTAGCAGTCTCATCTTGCCACTTCCAGGAGGCGATAGCTATTAGGAAGGAGATGCGCTGCCTCCCACCCCTTTTTTCATGCCAGTTTGCTTCCCTGTGCTTATTCTTCAAGACTACATTGATATTCATTTTAACATTTTTAAGTCTATGATGACATCCACTCCCGAACACAAATTGAGGTGGTGAGAAGAGTCACACACCTTTGCCCTGCTCCTACCTGCTCCAGGGCAGCACTGGGCCCAATAAGCTGCTGCCTCAGGCAGAACCCTGATTAACCTGGCTCCTGTGCTTCTGGGAAATGACTGGACCCACTTCCCCTCCAGAGTTGACGACCATCCGGTGTCTCTAGCCAGAACCGATGCACCATCTTCACTTCCTCCTCCCTCCCTCCCTTTCTCAGCTCCCACATCTGTCACTGAAAACTGTCAGTGTTACCTTTGTGATCTCAAATTCACGACTCTCCCTTTTCTGCACACCCTCCTTGCCTTTGTGTACTCCAGGGGTAGCAAATTATAAAGGATGCAAGGCTCACACAGGTGATCTAGATGAGCGAGATGGCCAGCGGGTAAGGCAACAGGGAGGGCTGAGGACTGTGGTGAACTGGAAAGTATATTGGTGAAGCCTACACAGCTCCTCAGCCCCAGCCGGTTGTCAGGTATGAATGAAGGCCCAAGTGTGGGCAGTTTGTACAAGGAGCCAGAAATCTGTTGTTTTTAATGTGAAATATGTCAAGTTTTCCTTTTAAGAGACAGAGTCTCGCTATGTCATGCAGACTGGCATGCAGTGATTCACAGGCACAGTCATTGCTCCCTGTAGCCTCAAACTCTTGACCTCGAGGGATCCTCCCACCTCAGCCTCCTGAGTAGCTGGAACTACTGATGTGCACCATCGCTCCCAGCATGCCAAGTATTTTTAGTATTGGCAATTGATTTTTTCTTTAATGTTTTAAACAACAAGTATACCACCAGGGACAAACAAAACACACTGGTGGTCTGATTTTAGCACACAGGCTGAAATTTTTGTCTACTGGCTTAAACCACCATTCTAGCTAAGACTATCAATGTTGTTTTGTCTTTAGTTCCCCTGCCTCCAAGCTCACAATCACCAGAGTATCTCCCCAGTACCCAAGTCACACCAGTTCATTCGCTGCTTCCCTTGTCACTGCCAGCCCCAAGTTACCCACAAAATGAAGGTGGTTTGGGCAGGCTGCCTGATCCCAGGCACACTCCCAGCCTGCACACCTTACCTGCACTCTCCCCTGGCAACCAGCTGGCTCCTTTGTTACCTCCCCTGAGGCTTCCCAGTCACCTGTATTCATCAGATCTCTCTACATGTCTGTCTGCCCCACTAGACTGTGATGGTCACTTGACACAAGTGACCACATCTTTCTTACTCATCTGTGCATACACGGAGCACCTGCCACTTAGAAAGTGGCTGGCAAATATTTTTTAAACAAATAAAAGAAGAAATGATTGACTGTTACCCAAGTAAAGTAGAAATATCTTAAGGATGTTTATTTCCCACCCCATTTGTTCACAATTAAGACCCGAGCATCCTTTTGCTAAGGACAATTTTCTTCTTTCCCCTCTCTAGTCCCCTCAGGTGCAAAGCTGTTGCAGACCCCGAGTCCCCTGAAGCCAGGGTGACCTGGCCCTCTGTGCCAGGGGGTCTTCTTATGGACACGTTTCTGGAGTTTCTGGGGATTCCTTAATCCTCTTTCTCTTGAGTTTTGGTTTTTGAGGAAGTTTTCTTGAAGAACCTGAAAAAGGGAAGGTCAGAGAAAGTCCCCATGACATCAAAAACACTTAAGAGAATCTCAATCTGTAACATCTGGGGAGGAGAGAGGAAGAAAAACAAAATATTATCTTCCAACCTTTGTCCCTCTTTTCTCAGAGAAACTGATTTCTGTGAGGTAGGGAGATGGCAACAGCCCCCATTTACCTTTAGGTGAGGACTCTCACCTAGGACTGGAGTAAGGAGGTGACCTGCCCAAAGCCTCATGGCAAGTCGGGGGCTGCCTGCATTGGCTGCAGCCAGCCAGGCCTGCAGAGGAACACTTGGGTCCATCTCAGGTCACCCTGGTCGCCTTCACCTTCCCCAGCAGGTGCTTTAGCAAGGGTGGCTAACTGTGGCTTCAGAAGCCAGTTCCGGAGGAGCGAGGAGTGGACGGGTGCAACATTTCTCTGCACCTGGCCCCACAGGAGAGGCCCTAATGGGTACCAGCCTTGGCTGGGGCTCCTCTCGCTAGAGAGGCTCTGTCCCCTCACCCGACAGCTTCCGTCCAGAGAGCCAGACACTGATGTCACTGCGGAGGCCAAAGCTGCTGGGAAGGCCCTTCCCAGCCCATCTGTCTGGGCCTCCCACTCACTGGAGGAATAAACCCCTTCCTTCTCCCCCGGCCCCACCCTACCCTGATGGGGGTGCCTGCTGCTGCCACTTGGGCGCTTCCTGAGAGTCCGCACTCTCAGTCGCTTGGAAACTGTCTCTACTATGCTTCTCGTCATACAGGAAAAGTGCCTTTGTTTAAACGTTAACTGAAAAACTCAGGAGTGAAAACTGTGTGTATCATGAGACTTGTGCTGGGGAGGAATTATACAGAACACTGAAGGAAACGCTTGAAAGTGTCAAAAGTGGTGGCCTCAGGGCGGCGGGGTGGAGTGATTTTCCTCCCTTCCTTTCTACCCTCATCTGTACGTTTTAAACTTTCTCTCATGAGCACACTGGTGGTGGGGAGTGGGGCCTAAAAAGAGAAGAGAGAGTAGAGAAGGAGAAGGAGAGAAGGACAGAACTACAGGGTGACGGGAAGATGGAAAGAAAGGAAAAACGCGTCAGGCTCGGGGCAGCGGCTCTGGCTGCTCTGGAGTCTGCTGCAGGGAGGCCCCCCCCCCCCCCCCCCCCCCCCCCACCCCCGCCAATGGGCACGGTACCTGTCTTGACATCAGCCTCAGATGTTGGCTCCTCCAGCAGGGAGGCCTCTTCACCTGGCGGCTGCATCTTGGACAGCCTCTCCTGCATGCCGCTGAGGTTGCTGTGCAGCCCCCAGGCGTTGCAGAGCTTGGGCAGACTGTCCTCCTGGCCGGCCAGCGAGGAACTCTCAGGTGTGTCCAAGGGAGAGAACGCCGCCTGCAGCAGGGCCACAGTGTTGGGTGTAAACAAGAGTGGGGCCTGGATTCTGGAGTCCCGCCCTGCACTTGTCAAGAGAGTGCTGAGATCTGGCTGCACCTCTCACACTTGCCCAGCCAAAAGGATGAGGTGAGATAGGCCCTTGGGGACATTGAGACCACACTGCCAACTGTCTCTTCTTGGATTGTCCTTTATTTTGCAGTCATGTCCTCCATCTCTTTCTGGAGTCATAATGTCTTATTGGTTTGAAATGGGACAATGGTACGTGTTCTGTAGTCCTAACTTAGCAAAATTTAAATTGGGAGCCTGGAGACTGGTTTTGGAATTTTTCTGGCCAGTGAAATCCGGAAATCTAGAAATCAGTAGGGTGGCCGCTCCTCATCTTCAGAGGAGGAATCCCTGAAGTTATGCAACCGTTCATGTTCAGAGGAAGAAACAGAGACGCAGCAAGGGACAGGACTTGGTTAAAGCTGCACAGCCAGAGTAGTGGTGCAGGGCACGGCGAGAGCAGGGCTTTCTTCTGAGCCAGGCAGAGGTCGAATCCCATCTCTTCCCTTCCACTTGCTCTGTGGCCTGGGACAAGTTACTTGACTTCCCTGCATTTGGGATCTTCATTTACAAACAGGACAATAATCCTAATTACCATTTAGGGTTACTTTTGAAGATTACATAAGGGAACCTAAAGTGCCTGGCTCAGAGAAGGCTTCTGCACCTGCTACCTAGGATTATTATCAATATTTTGGACCAGTGGTTTTCAAAATGTGCTGCGCATCCCTGAAATATTTTTGACCTCGCAGACCCCCTGAAAAGTAGAGCCCATGTAAAGTGCAAGAGAGAGACCAATGGACCTAGTGTGAAAAGTGCGTTGACATGAATCTGAAAAGGCTGCATACTGAAAGATGTCAACTATATGACGTTCTGGGAAGGCACAACTACGGACACAGTGAACCTGAGATCAGTAGTTGCCAGGGGCCTGAGGGGCCGAGAGAGGGATGAGGAGGTGGAGCACAGGGGGTTTTAGGACACATGCATGCATCATACATTTGTCAAAACCTACAGAATGTACAACACAGAGTGAACCCTATGAAAATATGGACTTTAGCTAATCATAATGTGTCAATATTGTCTCATCAAGTGTAACAAATGTGCACTCTAAAGCAAGATGCTAATGATTGGAGAAACAGGGAGGGATGAGGAGCATATGGGAGCTCTGTACTTTCCACTCATTTTTTCTGAAACCTAAAATTGCTAAAAAAAAAAAAAAGCCTATTAATTTAAAAAAGTTCCTTGATATGGTTCAGATTCCATGTTGCAATTAAGAAACTGCCACTTGTTGAGTTTTGGTGTGGTATCAAAGAGAAATACCCACAATTATCTGGAAGCACCAATAATATGTTCCTCTCTTTTCCAATGATGTATCTGCAAAACTGGGTTCTCTTCATGTACTTTAACCAAGCCAATATATTATATCACAAGAGATTGACTTTGGAAGCAAATACGCGAATAAAGCTGACTTCTATCAAGCCAGACACTAAAGAGATTTGCAAAAATGTAAAAAATGGCCACTCTTCTCACTTATTTGGATTTTTGGGGAAAATATAGTTATTTTCCACAGAAATTAGTTATGTTAACATGTAATGGGCTCTGTTTCATTTTCAAATGAATTAGTAAATACATATTTTATTTATTTATTTATTTTTGAGACAGAGTCTCACTTTGCTGCCCAGGCTAGAGTACCATGGCGTCAGCCTAGCTCACAGCAACCTCAAACTCCTGGGCTCAAGCAATCCTTCTGCCTCAGCCTCCCAAGTAGCTGGGACTACAGGCATGCGCCACCATGCCCGGCTAATTTTTTCTATATATATTAGTTGGCCAATTAATTTCTTTCTATTTATAGTAGAAACGGGGTCTCACTCTTGTTCAGGCTGGTTTCGAACTCCTGACATCAAGTAATCCGCCCACCTCAGCCTCCCAGAGTGCTAGGATTACAGGCGTGAGCCACTGCGCCCAGCCTACATATTTTAAATTTTTCTTTAGCTTTACTCTCTAATAGGATAAACATTAAGAGATATAACCCACATGAATGCCTTTGGGGTTCTCAATGATATTTAAGCGGGTAAACATGTCCTAAAACCAAAATGTTTGAGAACCACTGTTTCTGGACAAAGTCAGGCCAGGCTCTGTCGACAGCCCTGGGAGACTTCCCCAGGCTGGCTGTCCCTTTCTGCCTGGCCTCACCGTCCTGCCCGTGGCTCCTCAGGGATGTCCTTGCCCCTGCTGACAGCACAGTGTGGGTGTGGAGGGTGAATAAACATGGCGATGTGATGCTGAGCCTCTGGCCTCTTCAGCCCTGTTGTGTTGGGCACAGGGGCATATCAGCGGCGGTGCAGTCTTGGGCTCAGTGAGCCCCGGCAAGCCCCAGAGCGGCACTGGGGGGTCTCAGAGGGCTGCTCAGCCCAGGTCTCGCCCCACAGTCTAAGAACGCGCCAAGCAACCCCCTGCTGGGCCCAGGAGGAGCTCTCCCACGCCTCACCAGAAACTTGGCTGTCTGGTTGCTCTTGATGTACTTGTAGAGCCGGCGGAGCTGCTTGGCTTCCAGTTCTGAGAAGAGGGAGACAAATCGCCAGAGCATCCTGCAGGGGAGAGACCCAGGGCTGTGGGGGCGTGCGCAGCCCTTCCTCCTGCAGCAGTTGTCATGGGGACAGGACCTACCCAGGGAGAACCGGGCCATGCGCTTGGCTTGGGGTTGGGGGACGAAGAAGTGGGGATTTGCCAGAGCTTAACTATCCCGTCCTGGTGACGAGCGCCTGCACAGTGGCTGCTCAACCCGAGGTCATCCTCCTCAGGGTTCAGGACAGGTCTTTGTCCACTGCATGTACAGCCAAGGTGCAATCAGTGTTGCTAACGAGCGACTAGGGGGACCCAGTTCTCTCCACCCCTGCCGCCCCCTCCAGGATCCTGACTCCTCCACAGAAAGATGAAAGACTGGGGGATCACGGCTAAAGTATGACCTCGAATGGAGAGGGCTGGCCCAGGAGTGGGTACAGGGGGAAGGGCAAGGAGGCTGCCCTACTTCCTCCAGTGTTTGATTTCCCAGGCTCGGCAGTAATGCTGCAGAAAGGTGTTGATGTGGTCCCCTAGGACCACAAGGCTCTGCTTCATGTACTTTAGCTTCTTCTTCTGGGGAAGGTCCCTGGGCAAGTGCAACTTCCGCAGGAACTTCTTCAGAGGCCTTAGGTATTCTTTACACTGAGAAGGCAACAGGCGAGGTCAGGGCCATGGGAGAAAAGAAGAGGCAGATGGGCAGCCCCAGGCATCCAGCAGATTGGCCTGGCTGCAGCCTTTAGTGGCCCAGGAAGGGTTGTATGCTCAGTGAGGTGGCTCCAGCAGACCTCTCACCCCACATCCTTCCCAAGAGTGTGGGAAGGGTTCCAGGCTGCCCCCTTACAATTTTGAAGGTGTCCTGGTCCAGGCCTTTGGCATAACGCACAAGTGAGTCTCCGGCGGGGATAGCGCTAGAGCTCCTCTCTAAGCAGGGCACATTTGTCACCTGGGAGGAGACAGAGGGAAGTCAGCTTGGGGCTTGAGCCACTGGTCCTGAGGGTAGCTCTGGGCAAGCACTACCCGAATGGCAGCCAGAGCCCTTCTCCATTGTCCCTATGATCCTGTTCTTTTTTTTTTGAGACAGAGTCTCACTTTGTTGCCCAGGCTAGAGTGAGTGCCATGGCATCAGCCTAGCTCACAGCAGCCTCAATCTCCTGGGCTCAAGCAATCCTGTTGCCTCAGCCTCCTGAGTAGCTGGGACTACAGGCATGTGCCACCATGTCCGGCTAATTTTTTCTATATATATATTAGTTGGCCAATTAATTTCTTTCTATTTATAGTAGAGACGGGGTCTCACTCTTGCTCAGGCTGGTTTCGAACTCCTGACCTTGAGCAATCCACTTGCCTCGGCCTCCCAGAGTGCTAGGATTACAGGCATGAGCCACCGCGCCCAGCCTGATCCTGTTCTTGACTCAGCACTGATGAGAGTGAGCCCTGGACAAGAAACACATCTCAGAAAATCTCTGCTTAGAAAACCTAGAATATTCTACCTATTTCTTTTATAATAATCATAACATATTATACCAGGTAACTTTGCAAAGCACTTGATAAACATTAACTCATTTTAATCTCCCACAAATTTTGTGAAGTTAGATATCATTATCCCTGGTTACAGGTGAGAACACTGAGGCACCAAAAGGTTTATGTGACTCCTAGGGGCAATGAGGAGGGGTTCAGTTACTCCCTCATTCAGCAAACATGGATTCACTGCCTAAGTCGCAGGCCCATCTCTCTGCATCCCTAACCTTTGGCATCTTGATGTGCATCTAAGGGGCACCCAGAAACAAATGGGTGATGATGGTGATGATGAAAAAGAATCTTTTGACAGCAAAATTTGGGCAAAGAGGGCTGGGTGTGGTGGCTCATGCCTGTAATCCTAGCACTCTGGGAGGCCGAGGCAGGAGGATCGCTTGAGCTCAGGAGTTCAAGACCAGCCTGAACAAGAGTGAGACCCTGTCTCTACTAAAACTAGAAAAAAATTAGCCAGGCATTGTGGCACTTGTCTATAGTTTCAGCTACTCTGGAGGCTGAGGCAGGAGGATCACTTGAGCCCAGGCGTTGGAGTTTGCAGTGAGCTATGATGACACCACTACACTCCACCCAGGATAACAGAGCAAGACTCTGTCTCAAAAAAAAAAAAAAAAGTGGGGCAAAGAAAGCTGATAATTAGTGAAGACAAAGTGAGAAATAATTCCCGCCTGTGTTCAGGGAAACAAAGAAGGCCAGTGCCCAGACTGCCCCGAAAGAAAAGACTAGGGGAAAGGGAGGGAGGTCGGAGGAGAGAAGATGGGACACAGGCTCTTCCAGGTCTCCAAGGGCACTCTGGCTGACCAACTCTATGAACACAGCACATAAACCACACAACCACACACACACACACACACACACACACCACTTGAGACTTCATAACCAGCAAGGAGATGTGACCCCTTCTCATCATCCTGCCAGGAATACAGGGCTTTGATAAACATCTGTTTGGATGAATTAACTTCCTCTTGGTCTTTAGGCCTCTTGCTAACTCATGTGCCCTACCATTTTTCCTTCCTCTCTTCTTCCTTGAATTTCACGTTCTTTGCTTTCCAAAACCAGCCACTCAGTGACCCTTCTTCCCTCTCTTACATCCCCAGCCCAACTTCACCTTCTCTAGTGGCTTGTCCCCTTCACCCCCTTGCCCATCTGAGGCCTCCATCTCAACAGGAGTGCAGGTAGGCTCCAGGGTGGCACTCCTCACGTCCCCTCTAGCTTCTGACCTTCTGCTTCTGTGACCTGAGCTCTCAGGGAGTGGGCAGGTCGGCTCCAGAACTCGGAGCAAAACCATGGCAACTGCCAACACAGAGCCTAGCCCCCTCCCCCTCCATGCCCTCGTTCCTAAGGTTGGCCACCAGCCATCTCCTCCAATTGGAAACTGGACTAGGGAACTGAGCAAGATGTGCCCGGGAGACCCAGGATTTTGGCTCTCGCAGCTGGCCAGGAGGGGTTGGCACCCCTTCTCCCAAGAGCGCTGTCGGATGCTGTTGATTTGAACCTTGGGAACCTTGTGAAGTGAGGTTCCTGCGTGTGGACCATTCCAGCCTCCTCAGTTACATCGTGGGCTCCCCCACAGTGAGGAACCGGGCTTGTAACATCTTTTCCGAACCTGTGGAAAGGACTAGAGGGTGCGCTGAGAGCGCGGAGTAACAGTGAATCTCTACTGAGGTACATCTCTTTTGTGTCGACTCTCTACTGAAGTATATCTCTTTTGTGTTCCTCTAGCCTCTAGGAAGTTGGGTGTTGGCTGGGTGGTGGGGCTTTTAAGGGGTGTACAGAAACCCCAGTCACTATGTTCTCTCATCAACCTTCACAGCAACCTTCTGTGGGGAGGCGCCCGTAGTGGCCCTGTTCCACAGGAGAGGAGCTGAGACACACAGAAGTCCCGCCACTTGCCTTAGCTCCGCATCCACTGAGTGGGGTGCGGGGGTTCGGGTCGGAGTCCGGCCGCTCCCGCTTCCCCCTCCGGCGTGCCCTCGGGGTGCCTGGGGCCGAAGTGTCCCATCAGTCCGCCGCCGGCCCGGGGGCGCTCGGGGGTCCAAGTCGAGAAAACCTCGCCCCCAACGCGGCACAGGCGCCGCCTCGCGTCCCTCAGCAGCGCGCACGGCGGGTTACGGGCCACGGTGAGACCGTTGCAGCCGCAGTTTACTCACTTAAGCCACATCCTCCTCCCTGGAACGCTGAATTCCATCTCCTGGGCCTCTCTTCGTGTCCTCTGGGCCCGGGGCCCAGTTTTTCCCACCCAGTTTGGCCCTGTTCTTCCCCTGCCTTCGCGGCTCCGGGTCAGACCGCCAAGAGCCAGCGGAGGCAGGGCTGGCCCAGGTCTCCCTCTCGCCATCTAGCGGCCGTTCGGGCACATGACAGGGACATCGTGACTCCAGACCGCTTTAAAGGGGTAGGCAGGAGGCAGAGGGTGGAGTGGGGGGAGAGGGGAGGTGTTGGTTGAGTTCCCTTTGAGTCCCGAAACTCATTTTAACCTGTTCTCTATGCCATCATGTTTTGCAAATATTTTTTATTTATTTATTTTTTTGAGGAGGAAGAATAAAAATTCTCACTTCACTGCCTCCAAACTAGAAGGTCTGTTTTGTGAGCATTGATTCCGGATTATTTTACAGCTATTAAGAAGGATAATTATATTGGTAAGAGCAAGGGGAAAGGAGCCACATATCTACTGTATTGGGAGTGATAATTGGTAAACAAGGTATTTAAAAATTTTAAATGTGCATTCCCTTTGACCCACCAGTTCTACTTCTAGAAATTAGTCCTAAAGAGAGAAGATAATGAAAACTGTTAAAATAGTGACAATTTGGAAATAACTGAAATGTCATCAATAGGATAAATAAACTATGGTATATTTGTAAGAAGCATTAAAAATGCTACTATATATTTGTATTTATTGATGTTAATGGGAAAAAAACCCAAACTCTGTAAGGTAATTTAAAGAGGTTTATTATGAACCAATATGAGTGACCATGGCGCAGGAACCCACAAATAAGACTTGAGTAAGTGTTCCCAAGGCAGTCAGGTTACAGTTAGGTTTCACACATTTTAGGGAGACAGGAATTGCAGGTAAAATCATGAATCAATACATGGAAAGTATACATTTGCTTGGCCCTAAAAAGCAGAACATCTCAAAGTGAGAGCTAATAGGTTATAGGTGGGTTGAGAGATTCTTTTGGTTTGTAATTGGTTAAAGAAAAAGCTTCAACTAAAGCTGTGGTCCTCAACCCTGGGCCACGAACTGGCATCGTACTGGGATGGGTCTGAGGCCTGCCAGGAACCAGGCAGCACAGCAGCAGGCCAGCGACAGGCCAGGGATGGAATCCCCACCTGCACCCACTGCAGCTCCCCGTCACTGGCATCACCGCCTGAGCCCCACCCAGACCCCGCAAATCAGCAGCATCAGACCCTCATAGGAGCGCAAACCCCACTGCAAACTGCACATGTGAGGGATCCAGGTTGCGTGCTCCCCATGAGAATCCAACTCCCGATGATCTGATGTGGAGTCTAGGTGGTAAAGAAAATACCGACCCCCAAAAACCCGGAGTCAGTAGGAAAAAATGGTTGAGTTAAGATAAAGGGATCTGTTAATCAGAGCAAGCAAGTTGATGGCCTGCAAGCTGACTTAACATTTGCCTTGCTTGGCCTTAGGTAGAGCATTCCAGCATGCGATTTGTCTAAATTCCCAAAGGGAAGGGGTATAAGGAGGCATGTCCAATCTCCTTTCTCTTCCTGGCTCAATTTTTTTTTTTTTTTTGAGACACAGTCTCACTCTTGTTGCCCAGGCTAGAGTGCTGGGGCATCAGCCTAGCTCACAGCAACCTCAAACTCCTGGGCTCAAGCAATCCTCCTGCCTCTGCCTCCTGAGTAGCTGGGACTACAGGCATGTGCCACCATGCCCGGCTAATTTTTTATATATTTTTAGTTGGCCAATTAATTTCTTTCTATTTTTAGTAGAGACAGGGTCTCACTCTTGCTCAGGCTGATTTCAAACTCCTGACTTCGAGCAAGCCACCCGCCTCGGCCTCCCAGAGTGCTAGGATTATAGGCGTTAGCCACTGTGCCTGGCCCTGGCTCAGTTTTAAAGTTTTTCTGAGGTCTTCTTGGCCAAGAGGGGGGTCTGTTCAGTTGGGAGGTACTTAGGATTTTATTTTTAGTTCATATTGACATAGAAAACAAGAACTAAAACAGCATGTATAGTATAATCCCATTTTTGTAAGTATGTATTTATGTGTGTATAGCAAAAAGTCTTGAAGGATATACTTCAAAATATCAAGGGTAATTTTTCAGTTTCTTTGCATATTGTTTGCATTTGAAAAAATAACAAGGTGCTTTACTTTTACAGTAAGAAAAGAGTCTTTTTAAGAAATCTCCTAAGGACTAAATAACATCATTAAAAACATTATATAATGGTAAATTTGAAAACAGAACACAAAAGGGTATGTATATTACAACTTAAAAGTGGATACAATATGGATCAAAGCTGGGAGAAAATACAGTAAAAAAAAGAAACAAGAAATTGAATATATACATATGTATAAATACATGAATATATATGTATTTGTGTATGTAGATGTATATAGAGCCCTGAATATCTACAATTCAAAGGGGGGAAATAAATGTTAGAACTTTGAATCTTAGCTGTCCCTGCCCAGTCCCTCACCCCACTCCACCCTCCTTTTCTGTCCCAGAGCCTCCAGCAAGCCCTAGGCTCTGGATGGCTGCCCTATTCTCATAATGGTTTTATTATCAACCATGGGGAATAACTCAAAGAGACAATTGAACCTAACAGCAGCCAGGAATAATGGCTCAATTCACAACATTAAGACAAAACAAAAATCCATCGCCTTTGGGAGACATTATTCAAAATTCAATTGGTCAGCATAAAATGACTCTATAGTGCAAGCCAACTTGTTCAACAAAGTTATTTCCTGACCCTCTCACATTTATTTTTCAAAAAACAACAACCAACTGTGTGCTAGGTACTCAAGGCATCTGGCAGATGGGTAGTGTTAATTTGTCCACCCTCCACTTTATTATCACTTTTTTTTTTTTTAGAGACAGGCCTGGCTAATTTTTAAAAACTTTTTTATAGAGACAGAGCCTCACTATGTTGCCTAGGCTGGTCTTGAACTCCTGGATTCAAGTGATCTTCTTGCCGTGGCCTCCCAAAATGCTGGGATTACAGGCATGAGCCAGCATGCCTAGCCACCCTCCACTTTATGCAGGCTGGTACGCTCCTTGATGGCACAGACCAATTTCATAATCATAATGCTTCATCCCGATCACCCAGAACATATAATAAAGCTCATGAAATTCTTGTTATATGTCCTGAATTAAGTGAACATGGAAAATAATTTTAGCAGCTACTGCTTACATTTCCACTCATAAATTTGAAGATCTGCCCATCTCTCTCCAGGTTAAACAGTGACACTTTTTATTACCCGAAAGAACTCTCCTCTATTTCTTTTCTGGATAAGTAACTCAAGCATATTTTAGAATTGCCAAAAGAAACCTCTTGTTTTTGCTCCCAATTATCCAATTAGAATTGTATCAAGACTCCAAGGAAAAGAAGACCAAATTCCTATCATAGCTGCTGTGCTGGGTCTGCAGAACAGGCTGACAGTTTCCAAGTGAGGCATGGCAAGAGACTCTTAATGGGATCCACTGACGGGCTTGAGGGAATCAACAAATCTTTGAAACTCTATCCAGTGAATTTTGTATGAGGTCTCATCAAAGAGGTCTGTAGCCCCAAAGATATTAGAAACCGATGATCTAACAGGTCTAAGTGTGTGGACCTTCTTCTCAGCAGTGGTTTTGGGGGTTAGATGAGTCTAACCCAGGCAAACCTTCAAACAGAGGCACTAACAGGGCTATTCTTGAGAGAAAAACGGCAGAGGAAGAAGGCAGGGGAGTTTAAAGCCTAACTAACCACGTTCCAGGCCCACCCCAAGGAACCAGGAAGTAAACAGAAGGCCAGTGAGATCCTCATCCACATACAGTGAAGCGAAGTACCGTGTCCCCCACCAGCAGCCTACATCCAGCCCTCTCCAGTGGACAGGAAGCTCCCCCCGAGCTAATACAAGGCGTCAGGGCCAGTCAAGATGGCGGCGAGCACGAGGTCTTTCCCCTCCCCACTGGCGGGACACATCTGTGCACACCGGTCATGAGCATCTGTTCATCTTTTGCTCCTCTCAAAATAGTTCTCAAAGATGTCTGATACTTTCCCCCTCACTCTTACTTAATATTTATCGTAGTTTTCCATTTAATGGAGCCCTGGTTTAATTTCACTTTTTTTTTTTTTTGTAGCAGTGTTTTAATTTGGGCTTCATGTGCTCTAAAAATATCTTGTCAGGGTATCAAAAATAACACTGCAGAATGGCAACCTCAGAAGTTCAGAGCATGTTTCTAAATAGTCTAATGATATGCAAGCGTCTGTGATCATGTCAAATTGCTGGGCCTAATGATTTCCACTTGGCTCTTTCTGGAAGGTTTTCTTTCCTGAGATAGAATTCAGGAAGATGAGTAGGAGAGAATTGTAGAGTCAATGAATGTGGAGCTGGAAATGATTTTGGAGAGCAAAAAATCATTGTCCCACATTTTGTAGCAATTTCTTCACAAAGGACTCACTCCTACCTCATCTTTTCCAGGGCACTGTGTTCGTATCCCCCCCCCCGCCCCGCCCCCAACTTGAGGCCCAGATTTGGTGGTACTGGGGGCTAATAGCAGAGTTTTTCAGACTGAGAAAAATCACCTTGTCTCAGGCTTTCAGAATCAGAATATCCCAAGAGGGCCTGGGAATCAGTATTTTTATAGCTATCCCAGGCAATTTTTCTCATCAGGCTAATTTGGAAAATACTGGTGTGGTGAGCTTGAATTCCAAGTCGCCTTTGTTTGAGTCCAATTGTGTAAATTATGGTCTCTCCAATATTGTGCTAGAGCAGGCTCTAAGAGGCTCACCAGAGCTGATTATTAAACTTTCAGTAATTGTGCCAGCTGTTTGCTCACACAGCATTATTCAATTATTATTATTTTATTTATTTATTTTTCTTTCTTTTTTTTTTATTTCGGCATATTATGGGGTAAGATTTTAGGTGTTCAATAAAGCCCATTTCCCCCTCCCCCCACAAGTGCGAGTCTCCAGCATGACCAATCCCCCAGATGGGCACATCGCACTTCACTGTATATCAGTATCATACCCGCCCCCTCCCCTCCTCCCCAGCTGCCCGAATCCCTCCTTACTGCATACCTATGACACTGTAGGTGCTGTGCGAGTTAATACCAATTTCTGGTGAGATATGGGGCTGTTTTCCATCGTGGGAAACTCACGGGGGTTAATAGTATGGGTCCAGCTCTAACAGGAAAGTAGTAAAGATCGGTGCGCGTAATCACGCGCATTGTGCGAGAGGCGTGAATCAGTACTCCAGGTATAGGCAGGTATGCACATGTTTATTAATCCACTTCGTTGGATTGATGGCACTTGGGCGTTTCACAGCCTTGCAATTACGGAATGTGCTGCTATAAAACATTCGAGTGCAGTGTCTTTTTGTGAGAGTGTCAGCTTGATCGTTCGGTAGATGCCCAACAATGGAGGTGGCTGGATCAAGGAGTAGAGGGCAGTTCTTGGGGGGAGCGGCGTGAGAGTTCCTGTCCATATTGCGGGCGACGAGAGGAGAGCGAATTCGCAGGGGGCGGCGAGCCGAGGCGATTGTGTAGTATAGAATTTTTATTTCCATCTTTGATTTCTCATTTTGATGAAGTAATTTCATTTTTTAGTAGGTGAGTGTTGTTGATATTTTTCCATTCGTTTTGTGTAGAAATTATGAGTTTCTGTTACAGTTATTTGTACTTTTATCTTCCACGTGATCTGAGGAATGTATACTGATTGTTATTGATTTCTATTTTTTAAAATATTCTTGAGGGTTTTTATGTCTTGGTCCGTTAGGATGATGTCCTTATCTTAGAGATGTCCCGTGAGCTGATGAGGTAAGAAGCGTTATTTATTTTTGTGGGATTTTGGTAGAATGTCCTCGGTAGATGTACAATCAGATCTCAGTTGCTCCAAGGTTTTGTTTAAGTCATTATTTCTTTATTAATTTTCTGTTTTGGAGATCTTTCTTTTGTTTGTGTCCTCGTCAGTGGTGTTGAAATCTCTTTGGGGTGATTCTATGAGTTGCTATTTATTCCATGTTGCTTAGCTGGATTCCGCTGTGTTAGTGGAAGTTTGTTGCTATGAGATCTGTCGGTGCATCTAAGTTTGGGTGTCAGTTATATTATCTTAAAATGTTTATCCCTCTTGTTGAAGTGTCTGCCTTTTCACCATGTTATTGTAAGACCTGTGCTTTCATCTACTTGTTGTGTTTAAATCAATCTAAATTTCTGTCTGATACTTATTTTAGAACTGCACGCTCAATCCTTTCTTGGCTTTCCATCTGCCATGATTTATTAGCTTTATACCTCCCTTTTTTACTTTAGTCTATATGCCATCCTGCAAGGTCTGATGTGTTCTGAAGACCACAATACTTGCCGTGTATTTTGCTTTATTGCCATTCTTCAGCCAGCTCTAGTCTCTTGAGCTTGGAGAGTTATTAGCTCATTTCAGGATTTAGTGAGAAATCTGATATGTTAAGGTCTATGATTTACTGTCAGTCTGTTGTTTTGATGTGCTGCTTGATTTCTCTCTTGTAGCCATTTGTTATGTTTTATCTGCTTTAATCCTTTAGTGTTTTGTATACTTTGAGGTTTTATATGTGTCTTTCTGTGTCGTTAACACTGTTTGGTATGGTATTCTTTTCTTGTAGGGGCTGGTTCTTATCTTGTGAATTTCTCTTGATACCTTGCTTGTCTGAGAATGTCTTTGTCTTCTTCATTAATATTGAAGTTGAGTTTTGCCGGGAATAAGATTCTAGGGTGGCATGTTTGTCTTCAGAAGATGAGAAGGAGCCCCAGTCTTCTCCCTACTTGTCTCATTAAGAGAAGTCTCGGTGTTATTCGAACATTGGCTTTCCCTCTGTATTCACTTGCTTCTTTCGTCTTACGCAGCTTCCTTGAAGGCCCTCTTTAGTTGATATTCTTGTCTAGTTCGTGATGACTGCAATGTCTGACGGTCTTCCTGTTGCATTGAATCCCCATGGGGTCCTCTGAGCTTTCTTGAACCTGTGGCGTATATCGAGAATTTTGAGCAAGCGCTGGAAATTTCCTCTATTATATCTTCAGATAGCTTGTCCAACCCCTTGGTTTGTCTAACTTCCCTCTGGTAACCCTAAGACTCCCTCACATTAGGTTCTTCACATTAATCCCACATCATCTCTTGTAAGTGCTTTGCTTTTCTCTTGTTTCTCTGCTCGTATCTCTGATGGTTTTTATTTATTGGAGGGTGTTATCTTCAATGTCTGATGATCTTTTCTCTGTTGATACCCTGTTTTGAAGATGTTCCACTGTTATTTTTGTTAAGTTCCCTGATTGAATTCTCAGTTTCCAGGAGTTCGGTAAGACTTTTCTTCATGTTGTCCATTTCTTTCTTCCAGATCCTGAGGCTTTTTGCTGGTTTCTTTGTGGTGGTATCAGTTATGAGTTGTTGTTGCAGCTCGGTGAATGTTTCTTATGATCCACATACAAAATTCCCTTTCTGTCCATTTTGGTTGCCTGATTTGGGTTGGGTCGTTTCTAGGGTGCTCCTCTTTGGGGTGTTTTCCGTTTGTCTTCATTATTTCCAGAGTCTTCCTTTTTCGTATTTTTTTAGTCAGCATCAGTTTGTGTTTCTTTTCCTTTAGGTTTCTTGTTTGGTATTCACACGCCTTGTTTAGTTTCTGAGCGTTAGGGGTGTGTCCTGTGGGTGAGATTCGACACTCCTGTGATAATGAGTCAGTGGGTGCTGTGAAAAGGCTGTGCAGGATGCCGTCCCTGTCAGTAGGTGGCACTTGCTTGGAGGAACAGGCTATGCTGTTGTTTTTGTGTCCTGTTATCAGCTCTTATTCTGGGCGGAGCTGGGTTAGGTAAGCCTGCCCTCAGGCACCACCAATGCCCTTAGCAGGGGTCAAAGTTCTGTTCTCTGCTTCCAGGAAAAACTGTCAGGGCGGGGCTGGAATGGTCCGGCTCAGCCAGAAAGTCTGCTTGTGGGGGTGGGGCTGTCTGAGACCTGCAGTCTGGAGCGGGCCTCGCTTCTTTCCACCCTCCCTAACTCCACAGCTACTCCTCGGCCTCTGCCAGCAGTCCAGACCACACACCACCAGGCCTCCCCGGACTGTGATGCCGGCAGGGAGATTCCCTGCGCAGGAACGCCACCTGGGCTGGGTGCACGGCCTCCCTTTGGGGGGAGGGTTGCCCTCTACGACGCTGATCTGCCCCTGAAGGCACACACACCTCAGAAGGCTGTTCACAAATATCCCTTCTGTGCCCCGGGCAATGCTAGACCTCGGTGCATGGGATCTGGTCTGCAGGTCTGATCTCTGGGTCCCAGAGTTCAAACTGTATCCCCACCAGGGAGAGGAGTTCTGGTCCCAATTCACCCACAGGGAGCCCACGCTGTGTCTGTGTCTCTCAGCCTCTGAGTCGGCACCGTTCTCCTGGGGACACCGTGCCAGCAGCACCTGGGAGGGCTAGCGGGTAGGGAGCTCACAGTCTGAGTTCCCCTTAGTCAGCTGTAGGGTCCCAAAAGGGAAGGTCCCGTTCCTTGGAGGTGCCTCCAGCTGGTAGCTGTACTGTCTCTCTGGGCAGACGTGGGTAGGGTCGGTGGAGGGGAGGAGGAGGCAATATGGCGCCTGCCGCGCAGCTCGGGTCTGTGTGCATGGAGGTGCCCCGAGGGATTTGGGAGTCTGGTGCTGCGTCCGATACAGGCTCACCGCTAGCTGGCGGTGGCCGTCTCTGGGCTGGTGTCCGTAGGTCTCTCCACCCGCTGGGGAGCCCACCAGCAGTCCCAAATGCAGGAGAGGGGAAAGGTGATTTATCCACCTACCCTTCCCGCTGGTCTCCAGGCTGCCTCGGTGGTCTCAGCTTCCAGTTTTCCTCCACAGCCTCCTCCCGTGGAGTCTCCTGGGGTCTCAGGTACCCCTCCTTCCGGCCCTCATCTGCTGTATGCTCGCTTTCTTGCTTCTTTTTTCTAATTTCTGCTAGAACCTGTCTTTTCTGCAGAGACACTCTTTCTGGCGGTGTTTCTCGTCCGCCATCTTGATCCTCCCCTCTCTGTTTATTTATTTTTTTTGAGGCAGAGTCTCTCTCTGTTGCCCAGGCTAGAGTGCCGTGGCATCCGCCTAGCTCACAGGAACCTCAAACTCCTGGGCTCAAGCAATCCTTCTGCCTCACTCTCCCAAGTAGCTGGGACTACAGCCATGTGCCACTATGCCTGGCTAATTTTTTCTATGTATTTTTAGCTTGTCAATTAATTGT